GGTATCAGTTTCATGTTGGCCTCATAAAATGTATTAGAAAGTATTGCCTGTTCTTCAGTTATTTGGAAGAATTTGAGAAGACTGAGTATCAGATCTTCTTTGAACATTTCATAGAATCCACTAGTGAAGCTATCTTGTCTTGGACTTGTTTGTGAGGTTTTTGATGGCGGTTTCAATTTCCTCATCATTGATCAATGTATTTAGACTTTCTAGTTCTTTGTGTTTCAGTATAGGAAGGTTATATCCAAGGCCTGTCTAGAAGGTATGCAGCCTTATAATATGAAAAACAGAGACATTTATTGAAAAAGATAAAAGACACAAGAAACATTGTATATAGGACAATGATGCCTTAGTCCCCTTCAAAGTAGGTACCTTGGGACCTCATACAGTTCTCCCATTTGCCATTAGTCACCCCATCGTATCTTTCTGAATCTCATCAACAGTCTGAAATCTCTTCCCTTTCAAAGGTGATTTTAGTTTTGGGAAAAGCCAGAAGTTGCAGGGCACCAAATCTGGGCTGTAGGGCGTCTGAGTCACCTAGGTGATTTGATGTTTTGCCAAAAATCTCTGCAGTAGATGTGATGAATGAGTGGGTGCATTGTTGTGATGAAGCTGCCAATCACCAGTTGCCCACAGCCACAGCCTTCTGAATCATCTAGATCGTTTCCATGGAGGAATGTTCAAGCTTAACTCAAAATTTGATGCAGATTCATTGTTCTACTCACTTGGTCATTTTGAATGTGACGGCCACACAGTACACATGATCACTCAGTGGCATGTACTGCCCCCACTGACTAGTACAGTGAAGTTGTCATTGTTTATGCATGCACATTCCAGTCCACTTTCCTTGGCTGCCAGGTTACATCAATGTCACACAAACCGTTTTTTTTATGTTAACAAAGTTTGGACTTTTTCCAGACAGACCTCTCTATTTCTAGAAATTTGTCCATTTCTTTTAGGTAATTGAATTTGGTGGCATATAGTCTTTCACTGTAATCTTGTATGATTTTTGTGTATCTGTGATATCTCTGGTAACTTCTTTTCTTTCATATCCGATTTTGTTTGAGTCTTTTTCTTTCCTTAGTGAGTGTAGCTAGAGATTTGTCCATTTTATTAATATATTTTTTAAAAACTCTTTAAAAACTCTTTAAAGCTCTTTGTTGCATTAATGTTTTTGTCTATTCTTTTTGTTCTCTATTTTATTTAATTCTGCTCTAGTTTTTATTATTTCCCTTCTGCTGACTTTGGCTTGCTTTTGTTCTTCTTCCTCTAGTTGTTTAAGATGTAATGTTAGGTTGTATACTTGGGATATCTCTTGTTCCTTGAGATAGGTCTATAATGGTGTAAACTTAGCTATTGCTACTTTCACTGTATCCCAGAAGTTCTGATAGGTTGTTTTGCTATTTTCATTTGTCTCTATATATCTTTTGACCTCATCTTTCATGTCTTCTATGACCCAGTCTTTTTTTAGTAGCATGTTGTTTAACAACATGGGAGTCCCCATATTTGTGAGGTTTTTTTGCTTCCTTTTTGCTGTTAATTTTTAATTTCAAAGCATTGAATTCAGAGAATATGTTTGGTACAATTTCAGTCATGTGTTGAGGTTAGTTTTGTGTCTGCAGATATGGTCTGTCTTTGAGAATTTTCCATGTGCACTAGAGAATAATGTACAATCTGGTGTTCTGGAATGAAAGGTTCTGTAGATGTCAATATGTGCCTTTGGTATTAAGGGACATAAGGCTGTCACTTAAGGCTGATTTTGTGTTTGGAAGATCTGTCTATAGCTCTCAATGGGGTATTTAGGTTCCCTACTATGATTGTGCTTTGTCAGTTTCTCTTTTTAGTTCTGTTAGTAGTTAGTTGCTTATATATTTCAGAGCTTCCATATTGAGTGCATATATATTGAGAAATGTGATGTCTTCTTGATGTAGTGTCCCGTTTGTCATTATAAATTGTCCATCTTTATCTCTTGTTACCTTTTCTGTCTTGCACTATCTTTTGTCAGATAAATAAGTGTGGGTGTCATTTGCTTGGAGAGTCATTTTCTGCCCTTTTACTTTGAGTTTATATTTGTTTTTGCAGCCTCGATGTGTCTGTCTCCTGAAGACAGCATATGACTGGGTTTTGTTTTCTGATTTGGTCTGTTACTTTGTGCCTCTATAGGTTAGTTCAGTCCATTTACATTTAGGGTAATTAATTGATGTATGAGGCTTTCCTATAGCTATTTTATCTTCTGTTTTCTGGTAGCCCTGTGTCTCCACTGGTTCTTTTCCTTTGTGTTTCTGTCTGTTTTTCTTGTTTGGTATTCTATTCCTTTTTCTCTGTTGTCTTTCTTTTTAAATTGTATGTCTCAGTTTTGGCATTTTTGTGTGTGGTTACCATTAGGTTTATGTTAAAGAAAGTTTTATATATATAGTAGCCCTTTTTCTTTTGAATGCATCTAATCTTCATCCTCCTTTGTAAAATCAGAACTTCACCCCCTCCCCTTTTATGTTTTTGTTGTCAGAAATTATCCCTATTTACACTGTGAGTTTATTTCTGAATTGCAGTAACTGTTGTCTTCTTCTTTTTTTTAATGCTATTACCTTCTTTAGTTTCCGTGTGATATATAAATGTATAGTATCCTATTCTTTTTTTTTTAAGATTTTATTTATTTTTAGAGAAGGGAAGGGAGTGAGAAAGAGAGGGAGAGAAACATCAGTGTTTGGTTTCCTCTTGAGCACCCCCTACTGGGGCGCTAGCCAGCAGCCTAGGCATGTGTCCTGACTGGGAATTGAACCAGCAACCCTTTGATTCACAGTCTGTTGCTCAATCCACTGAGCCACACCAGCCAGGGCTAGTTCATTCTTTATATTGTATTTCTTATTGAGTTCTTCATCTCCAGAATTTCTGTTTGGTTTCTTTAAAAAGTTTTAGTCTCCTTTGTGAAGTACTCATTTTGTTCATTTATTTCATTTCTGAGTTCATTAAACTGCCTGTGTTCTCTCTCTCTTTTTTTTTTTTTTAAAGATTTTATTTATTTATTTTTAGAGGGGAGGGGAAGGAGAAGGAGAAGGAGAGAAACATCAGTGTACAAGATACATCTATTGGTTGTCTCTTGCATGCACCCAAAGGGGCACCTGGCCCACAACCCAGGCATGTGCTTTGACTGGGAATTTACTGGTGACCTTTCAGTTCACAGGCTGGCACTCAATCCACACCAACCAGGGCTGGTTTTCTTGTAACTTGTTTAATTTTTTGGAACTGCAGTCTTGAATTATCTGTAATTTAAATCACATACTTCGGTGTCTTTAAGTTTTTTTTTTGGAGATTTTTTATTTTCTTTCTGATTTGCCTTTTTACCTTGGTTGTTCCTGGTATTTGATGGATTCTTTTTCTGCCTAGGCATTTGTGTATGAGTGGCATATCTCTAGTAGATTGATCAGAAGCCTTTCTATTGTTTTTCCAGTAGGTGGTGTGGAATCCCAAGGGTTTTTTATTGTTGTTGTTGTTATTGTTGTTCTCTTTTACTGCTCTGGCTTCTCAGATCTGTGCAGGGTGGCAGAAAATGTTCTGTGTTTCCTGAAAAGCTGGGCATCTCCTTTGTGTTCAGGTCACCTTGGTCTCAGGGCACCAACCCTGCAGGGGAATGTGGTGGGCCATGGTGTTCCATATCTGTGAGATCCCAGTGTTGTCCCCTGCAGCCAGATGCTGCCATCAGGGCAGCTGGGATATGTGTGGGTGGGGTGAGCTAGAGGAAGCTGCCTGCTGTCTTTGTTGCTTTGCTCTCCCAGTGATGGTGACTGGCAGACTCAGTGTCCTTCCCTCTGTATCTCTATTGGACCCTGGGATTAGTTGTAGAGGATACCTGTCACTCAGGGAAAGAATGTTTCTGTAGTACCAGCTCTCAGTTTTGCAGATAATGTTCTCTGCAAGCAGACACTGCTACAGCTTTTTCTAGGTGCTGGCTCTGAAATGGTTAAAGGGGAGGGTTCTGGGACTGCGAGGAGAGGCAGGAAGGCTCTCTCTGTGGCTTGCTTTCTTTGTTTGTACTGCTGATTGCCAGGCAACTGTGGCCATACCTCTGAGCTTTGTGGCTGCTCGAGTCCCTGGCCCAGCCTCAGTACCCACTGACCACTTCTGCAGGAATGCTCACTGTATCTCTTTGCTTTTCCCAGCTGGCATGGCTGGAATGTCGGTGACAACAAGTCCTCTCCTCTTCAGGGTGAGCACTGCAGTGAGCTCCAGGCTGCCAGCTTCAGACTGTGTCTTTGGCTTCTCTCAGCTCTTCTCCCATTCCAACTCCATGGGTTTTTTTCCCACTTGTCCACTTTTAAGTGTTTCAATGCATGGAATTCTCAGATGTGTTTGTGTGTTGAGCAGGGAATACTTTGTTGAATTATACCTGTTTAAATTGTTGAAACTTCAAGGGGACCTCTCATGCTGCCATCCCTTTTATGTCACCCAATTCTGTTCTTTTTAGGTGTCTCTTAACTCAGGAATATCACTTACATAATTTATGATATACATTTTAAATGCTTGATAAATGGAGTCTGTCTCTTCGTTCATGTTTTTATAGTATTTAAAAGCATGGTTTGACTGCTAGGAGGAGAGATGGATGTGTAGGAAAAAATGCTGTGAAGATTTGAATTATTAGATTGTATATCAGTCATCAGCTATATTTCTGGAATTCTCTAAAAGTATGAAAATTAGGGAATCTAGCTTTTTTTTTTCAATAAAGAAGGTATCAGGGTCTTTCATATTAAACTGTAATGTCTATTACTTTCCTACTTGAGACCATCAGTCCACAGACCTCTTTGTTTAGTCTGTACCCTGTCCCCACGTTTATGGTAGGTTGGGTCTTGAATGGCAATTGAACAGTATAATTGCTTCAAGAAAAATAAATATGGTTAGATAAATTTCATTCCAATTTTGGAGAAGTTGTGAAAGCTAACCTCTGGAATTTGAGTTTCAGCTTCATCTTTAACTGTCCCTGCAAAACATTCCTTTCTGTTTGCTAGATGAAGAGGATAACTTGTTCACACCCCCCAAGCTGACAGATGAAGACTTCTCACCATTTGGCTCTAGACATGGCCTCTTCAGTGGAGGGAAGGGACTTTTTGATGATGAGGATGAGGAGGTGAGTCATTCTCCATAGCTATGTTTTGGAAGGAATGCACTTTGTTCTTTTAGTAGGGAAAAAAATGGCTTCTTAGTTGGAAGTTGCTTCTGCTTTTATAGTTGGGGAAATTTGAACTAAGAATCACAAAGAGAAAATGTTGTATCTTGGTGCTCTTTGTAAGGTGAGAAGAGTATGTGAAAGTGTTAATAGTGAACAATTTACTTGATTAGCAGTTCTTTCTTACCTTATCTGTTGTCATCGTCCATGTTTGTATTTTAATTCTTAGACAGACCTAATTTATTTATGGTCTGATTTATCATAGTCTTCACTTTGGAGCTGATTTTCTGTCAGAACAGCAAGTATCTTTAAACTTTACAAGTACTTTTCTTTAGAAAGCCTCAAATGCAGCTACTTTTTTCCATTGCTTTTTTGAATTCTGTGTCATTATACCATATTACAACCAGAGTGACCTCTTCACGGAAGCCCCTCAGAATCAGGCGGCTCGGGCACCTGTTAGTGAAGGTAAGCTTGGACTGAGACTGACTGTGCTTGTTTATGTACAGATTCCAAAGCTGTTTATTGTCCACTAGGAGCTAGAATCCCTGAAGTTCTTCAGACTTTGCTGTTTTGGTAGGCAGGAAGCTGTTGTGTTTGCCTTGTTATAGTTAATGTGTTGGAAGGAACAAAGAGTACCATCTGTAAACCTACATCATAGTTTTACCTCTTAGAGAATTCCTTAAAAACTCAAACAGGAAGAATACTGTAGCAGCATTGAAGATATTTTAATTTAATCAATTTAAGTCAAAGAAACATTTCTAAAATTCTGCATATAAATTGGGGATCATTAAATTGGGGATCCCCAGCCTAGTGTGCATTATAATCAGCTGTGGACTTCATAAAAGGCACACATAAAAAAAATTAAAAACTTACAAATTTTATTTCTTTAGGTCTGTGTGAGTTCTTGGGAATTAGGAATTAGTTATTTTAAGCAACTTAATCTCCCCAGGCCACAAGCTGTCAGATTTTGGACTTGCTATGATACTGCCTTGATTATTGTATGGTTCCTGTTCTCTGCTTTTTGGAGTAGGTGACTTGCCTAGTTTCCCTCTTTTTTGTTACTGTCTTCATTTTTTCACTGATGTCTCATATTTTTTTCCTTTTTTGGTGTTATTCATTCTCACAAATAGTAATGGATAGAGTGGGCACTGTGGAGGAGCACTGCTTGCTCTGCCCCTGCCACCCCATTGTGCTCTGCGTCCTCCTTGGCCTCTCTAGCCAACACCCCTGCTCTTGTCTGCTTAGAGTCACAGTGATTTTCTATGGGACTCACAGCTGAGATTGCATTAGTACCAAGGAAAAGTAATAGCATGGTGTTGGTAAGGAAGATACTAAGGAATTTTAAAATGACTTAGGAAAAATTAGTTTTAAAAGGCCTCTTATTAGCTATGTATTGCGTTGAACATATTTTAGGAAGGTGCACTTAATAAGCAAGGTTACTTTCTTTGTTGAAGTGATTATTTCATTCTTTCTCATTTTAGTGTCTGCATCCTCCAAACCTGGAAAGAAAATCCCAGCAGGAGCAGTTTCTGTATTTTTAGGTATTGTATTAGAGGGTTTTTTTTTTTTTAAAACTATGTAAGAATCATTTTGTAATTTTTAAAATTGCCATTTTCTGAGGGCAGGCTGGAGAAATAAGAGGAGCTTCAGAAGGCATAGGACAGCTTCCAGAAAGAGATCATTTACTGGGGTTAGCTCGTATTCTCTCAGAAATTTGACCTTTGACCTTTTGACCCTTTGACTTTTGACCTTTTTGTCTTTGAGTGACCAGGTAACTTTGATTATGGGATGCTCTATAGCAGAAGAGGATGGAAGTAATGGGTCCTTATTGGGTTCTGTGGATGAACTGAAGCTTAAAATTCTTGGTGGGCAATAGTGGTTTTTTTTTCTGTAGTCAGGAGGCCTACACATACTAGCTTGTAGACAGGTTGTGTTGCTTCTCTATCCACAGGGGACACTGATGTGTTTGGTGCAACCTCTGCTCCATCACTTACGGATCCCCAGAAGCCCAAGCAGCCTACATCAGGGAAAAGTTTGTACCTCCCAGCACCCACTGGCCTCTTTAACAACGATGATGGTGATGATGACTTTTTTGCAGCATCCTGTAGCAAACCCTCCAAGACAGGTAGTTGCCTGTTCCAGCCTTTTTATGAATTTTGCCATGAAATAGTATTGACCTAAAAGGACATAAAACTCCTCCATTTCATATCTCATGTAGTATCAGAATCCCTCCTCAAGCATTCCTGCCAGAGAGTTGTTATATCTCTGCTTATATAGGCATGGTACTTTGGGGATCTCTATTTTATGAACCAATCTTTTCTGCTTTGATGAAACTAATAACTAGGAATTCTTCCTTAGAACTGGTTTTAATCTGTTTCCCTATAATTACTCAAGAATTTTAGTTCTCACCTTTGGAATTATAGAAAAAGTTCTAATCACACTTTCTTCCAGTAGTTCTTCGTAAACCCTATGAGCAGAATGCCACGTTAGCTGTTTATTTCCCAGTTTCCCTTCTCTTTTCCAAAAGCCCAGATAACCTTGACTTTTCCTTGTGTGCTAGGGTTTTCAGGCACTTGGACACTTTGGCACTCTTCCTTTCTTCTCCCCTCAAATTTAAGCCACTGTATTCGTGAAATCACCCCTCTAAATCAGTTCTTTAATGTGCAGATGACTCTTCAGGGGCTCTTATCAAAATGCAGATTCTGAGTCAGTAGTTGTGGAATGGAACCTGCAATTTTACATTTGTAGCAAGCTTTCCAGTGGGCAGAGATTGCTGGTCTGTGGGTTGCACTAGCCCCTTTTTCAGTCATAGGTGTGGAAAATAAGGATGGAAGGAGAAAGTGAGGAAAGTAATTGCCTGGTTATTTTAGAAAGAGTGCAGATGGATGCATAATACTCTCAGATCTGTGCTGACTGCCACTGGTGGCTTGGAAGTGATTTGGAATCACAAATAAATTAATGCTCCTGTCTTGACAGCTATTGCTGTCTTGGGACATTCATGAAATAGTGCCCTCATTTCAGTGACATACACTTCATTCAGTGCAGCAGTGCTTGTGGTAGTGAAAAGGTGGCAACCACCCAAATACTCATCAGTAGGGTAAATTGTGGTTCTTCCATTCAGTGGAATGTTGTGAACCTGCTAAAAAGAATGAGATCTATGTTGATATGGTAAAATACCCTAGGTACATTAAGTGAAAAATGCAAATTGTAGCATTCATTGCTCAAATTACCATTTACTGCCTATTTATGAATGACTGAAGTTAATAATTATTATATCATTTGTGAGAATTAGAAGCATGTATATACCAAACTGTTCCAGTGGCCATCTTGTTTGGGTGGGGAAGTGGAGCTAGGGGGAAGATTTCAGTGTTTGTTTTTATATGCTTTTGTATAATTTGATTTTTAAAAGCAAGAGCTTATCCTCATTTTTCAGCTTTTTAGAGTGATTGACTCTCAAGTGATCTTTCTCTCTATAGGTCTCTCTGTACCTTTTATGCCAGTCCAAGCTACTCTAGGCATGGGATGCTGTTTGTTGGATATATGTGTAAACCAGATGGTTAAACCATCTGTCCTGTGTTTCATTTTAGCTGCTCTTGTGTTCTTTGAAAAATTCAAATCTAGTGCATGTAATATTTCTTCATAACTAATCAAGAAATAACATACTTTCTAAATTTATTCTTTGGGAGGGAAGAAGTTTTAATCTGTGTATTTTATGGTGGGATTTTTTTACCTTAATATAATTTTATGCTGTGGTATCTTTTTAAAGAAAAAGTCAAATCCCCTGCCAATATCTTTGATGATGAAGAAGGAGATCTGTTCAAAGAAAAGGCAGTAGCTTTGCCAGAAGCTATGGTGAATCAGACAGATGAATATACAGCAAGAACAAAAAGAAAGGTGAGAAGGAGGGAAGACTGAGTGTAGGAGTGTTGATATGGAACCAGACGTGGAAATAGTTTACTTCCAAGTGTATACTGAAGAACTTCAGACACACAAAGTTGCAAGAAGAGGAAAACTGACACCCAAAGAACTACCACCAAGATCTAGCAGTTGTTAGGATTTTGCCATACCCAGTTGTTGTAACATCCATTGATGATCTGTACCTGAACTAGTTATCATATTGCGGAGTGCAAAATAATGTTTTTCTAATTCTTGCATGTCTTCTACCTTTGTTAGGTGGCATTTTTCTGAAAAGAAGAGCCTTTTCTTTTTCCTGCTTTTTTAGTATCACTATAGGATCATAAATTTTCTATTTATTATAAGCCATGAGCATTATTTGATGCTCATGGATATTATTGACCTGTATTTGGCCAATGGGATGCGTCCCTTCCAGTCCTTAAGCTCTTTTGGCTATTTTCTCTACCCTTTGCTGTCCTGTACACTTTGATCTTTCTAAAGCACATTTCATGTCATGTCTTTTTTACGAAACCCTGACCTTCCTGCTGCCGACCGCCTAGGTCCTAGCATTCAGAACCTGTCAGGCTCTTAGGGTGTCCTGCCTTCCTATGCTAGCTCCAGCTGTACATATCCCATTTAGGTACTTATGAGGTAGGTAGGCAGCCGGTTCTAGTCTCTGATGCACCAGATGTGCCTGCTGCTTTTTTCCTGCTTTTGTCTCCTCACATAGTGCCCTCTGCCTGGAATGTCCTTGCTGTACCATCTCCCGTGTCTAGGCCTTGTCTGTCCTGAGAAATTTACTTTATCAAGATACTATTTCCTTCCTCTTTCCTACCTAACTGACACCAATTTTAAAATTCTTATGATACTTCTCATTTTGAGTTAATTCTTTGAGTAAACTTGATATATGTCCAAGGTCCATAATGTCTTTATTTCCCTGGTGTGTGGTTTGACTTTATCATAGCAGAGACTCGGTACATTTTCTGGATGAATGATTGAATAAACTGTCATTTCCAGGTATCTTGTTTGTTAACTTTCAATTTTTTTTTTCCAACAAGGTCACCCTGTCTTCCAGCAACAGTCTTAATCTCTTGTCAGAAAGAAAGACTCAAAAAGGTTTATTTTCAGATGAGGAAGATACTGAGGTAAGAATTCTTTTTTTAGTTCTGAGAATTAATGGATGTAGCATTAGAAACTATTTCCAAATCAGGATTTTCTCAGTAGAGGTACAAGACTTTTTATTATGTTCTTTAGTTCTTTCTTTGAAAATAACCTCTTGCGAATACATGGTCTTTAGAAAGCAATATGTGTACATTTTGTATGTGTACAGTAGTGTTCATTCTTGGGTTTCAGTCTAGTGCATTTTCTGGGAGGAAAATACTCTGTCTATAAGATGCTCAAATTTTAGACCGACTATTGATTCTCAGTGCAGTGAGGTACTTGTATCCCAATGGAAATTTACACAATGCTTATGTTTTTGGTAGTCTCACTAAAAACTGGGCCCTGGCTGGAGTGGCTCAGTGGATTGAGTGCCGGCCTGCCAACCAGAGGGTTCCTGGTTTGATTCCTAGTCAGGGCATATTCATGGGTTATGGGCCACGTCTCCAGTAGTGGGCACTCAAGAGGCATCTGCACATTGATGTTTCTCTCCCTCTCTTTCTCCTTCCCTCCCCCCTCTCTAAAAATAGATAATTCAAATCTTTAAAAAAACTGGGCTTATTGATGAAGTGATAAGTATTCTGGCACAGGTTTTTCTCTCAAGACCTGTAACAGTTTGTGGCTGGCACTGGTTTACAGACAGCCTGAGTCTTCCAGGCACCTGCGTGTGCCTGGAGATACATTTTCAGTGGAGTAGTACCAGCTCTCAGAAGCGTCATTGCTTTTTCTGATTCCCATAGGCCTAAGTCCTTTGAGAACTAATTTTAGGCCAGGCTTTTAGGGGATCTGAGACATGTATGAGAATGTAATGGCAACAATCAGTCCCTTTCATAGAAAATTATGTGGGCAGGGCAGCAATATATAGTAATTTCAGATTTTGTGAACTTTGAGCTAAACTCTAGTGGTTACTTTGCACTAACAGCCAGGATGAACATACAGTTTTTTGTTAAGTAGAGTGATTTACTGTAGATATAAATAAAACCTTGGAGGCTTATATTTTATTGATGTCCAGTGTACAGAAGATAGGAATCAACCAAAATCCTGACACATGGGCAGAGCACGATGGGCTTCACACTCTGGTTTTATCCTGAGTTCCCCACTTTGAGGTCTTTGCACTGGCTCTTGCCTCTCTGGGAATGCTCTTCCCAGAATTCAGAAGGCTTGGTTCCTCACTTTTTCCAGCTTTTTATAGGCCTCTCCTGACACCCCTTTGCATAATCGCAAGCTCACCAGCACACACCCTTCTGTTGTATAGTTCTCTTATAGTATGAATGGTTGGTGACATTTTGTGTCCCACTTGTTCATTGTCTCTGTCCTAACTAGGAAGGTGCAGTGAGGGTAGGGTGTTTTGTTCCTTGCTCTTATCCATAATGCCTGCACTAGTTAGTGGCACTTAGTAAGCCACCAAGCAGTTGTTAACTACAAAGGGAAACAGAGGTGAGCAATTTCAGTGATTTCAAAGGTGTTCTAGTTACTTATTGCCATGAAATAAATCACTCCAAAACTTAGTAACCTAAAACATTGATATGTTTAATTACCCTAAAAATGGTTCTAGAAGTTGACTGGGTTCAGCTAAGCACTTTTTATTTAGGGTGTTGTGTAGTTCCTAGTGCAAAGGTAGCTGGACTAAGAAACATCTCTCATGTTTTTGGTGCCTGGGGGAAAAGACTCATAGAGCTGGGGCACCTGGGGCACTGACACCCTTCTCTCTTTATCTTTGTGTGTCTCTCACCATGGCAGCTTCTGGGAAATTGGACTTATTACACGATGGCCCAGAGCTTCCAAGTGAGATTCCTGAGGGCTGTGCAGAGGCTATATTGCTTTTTGTACACTCACCTTGGAAGTTGGTGTTGTCACTTCTGCTGCATTCTGTTGGTTGAGACAATCATAAAGCCTTGCCCAGGTTCAAGGGTAGAGGATACAGACTCCACTTACTGATGGTAGGAGTATAAAAGAATTTTTAGGCAGGTTTTTAAAACTACTCCTGAATGCTTTGATCCATGTGTATCATCATAGATTATTGTTTTTATTGGATACTGTCAGGGTGCTTAGGCTTGGAGAAGTAGAACAGTGTAGTGTAGAACAGGGGTGTCAAACTCATTTTCACTGGGGGCCATATCAGCTTTGCTTTGCCTTCAAAGGGCTGCATGTAATTTTAGGACTGTATAAATGTAACTACTCCTTAACTTTAAGGAGTTGAAATTACATATGGCCCTTTGAAGGCAACCACAAGGCTGATGTGGCCCCTGATGAAAATGAGTTTGATGCGCCTCGTGTAGAAGACAAAGCTTTGGACCAGAAGGATAGATTCTTTACTCCTGCCTCTGTATCTGAAGTGTGGAGCTAAAGCTTGCCCTATGAAGTCATTCTGGGGACATGTTTGAAGTAATGGAAAAGCTTTTATCCCAGCACCAAGCATGTTGTTAGTTGAGGGTCCAAAATTGTGATGTTGAAATTTGTTTTTGTTCTTTGCTTTTGTTTACTTGTTTTTAAAGCTGCAGAATCCTTTCTTTAAGTGATCTCTTGCCAATATGTAAAATGGAGGAGAGGCATAGAAAGCCTGGAGTTTCTTGTGTGGCCTCTTCTACCTGAATAGACCCATGGGACTCCATGAGTCTCAAGCAACAACCAGTAGACTTAGGTCTTTATTTGAGGAATAAACACTGATTCCATAATGGAAACATTATTCAGAAAGGTCTTAGAAACTATGTTCTTGTCCTATTTAGATGTCTGGCTCTTGTGTATTATTTTTTCCTGAAGAAACAGTTGTTCTGTTTTATCTTAAATTCATTCAGCTAATTTTATGCTAATTCATGCAGCCCAGTTTGCAGCTCTTTCTTTGCATTATAGGCCAACATTTTGTGGTTTTGAAAATTTCTTTAGAATCTACCAGATTTTTAAATAGTTTACAACATCTCCTAGCTCTATAGTTCAAGTAGAATACCAAACATTTTAAAATAAAAATTAAATTTTTATTTATTTAAAAGAAATAATATACTCTTATAAGAGTAACAAATACTATACTCTTATCTGTAACTAAATAAAACGGTTATAGATCCAGTAATTTAAGAAGCTAGTTTTTGTTTCCATTATGGAAACAAAATTTAATCCCTCTGATTTTTTTAACAGAAAAAGGAAGTCATTCTTATTTTAGCATGATAGGAGATTGATTGGAAAATTTTCCCTTGCATTAAATCATCCATGTGGGATGCCAAGATAGAGCAAGGTGGGAGTATCCAAACCTTTCGGTTCCGGTAAGGCTACTTGGAGTTAGCTGTGGTCTCTCCCTTCTCACAGGTGCTTATACTGTACATAGCTAGGACGGACTGATGGAGGTTCCTCAAGGATGGCCTTAGCAAGCTTCTGTCTCTGGCAAAGAGACCTAGATGCATTGCAGCCATCATGTCATAGTCTTCAGTGTTTTATGTCAGATACTTTAAAAACTGATATATCTTGTTTACTAAGAACTTTATCCTTCATCCAACAGGATCTGTTTTCCTCTCAAAATGTGAATAAGTCAAAAGATGCATCTCTCCTGCCTAGCAAACTCCCCACATCAGTCTTGCTTTTTGATGATGAAGATGAAGAGGTAAACATTGTTATTATAACACAAGATAATCAAGTTTTTGATTAGTAGAAAACTGTTGCTGATACAGCTTTATAGTCAGAGAGGTTCAGTCAATAGAACAAAGTAATATGGAACCAATCCAGCCTTCGGACTGAGGCCTACACAACAAAAATATTTTGGTTTCTATTTCAGTGACTCCTTTCTTAAGTTCTCTTAGCTATCTATACAATGGGCAGGACATTAGATTCTTGACCCAACTCTTATGGAAGGCTTTTTAGATTTCCCTTTAAAACTCTGCCTTTAAGAAATACTTTTTAGAGGATGGGTCTGTGTTATACTCAGTTATTTATAATAATGTTTTGGATAAAGGGGGATCAAGAGGAGAAGGCAGCCATGTCCTCATTTTGCTTTGCTTTCCCACCCTGAATGAGAGAGAAAAGTTGGGGAGGAAATAAGGGGAAAGACAAAGCAAACATTCATTCTTACATGGTCCTGGGCAGTGGCTGAGCTTCTCGGCTTTGGTGTCAGGTCTCTGTGCCTGTATCCTAGCTTCACCACTTGCAGATCAAGGACCTTGGACAAGTAAAACTCGACCCATCTGAATGTGATAGTTCAAACAACTAATGTACAGCCTTTGGCACAGTGCCTAGCACGTAGTAAGTGCATAGTAAATGTTAGCTCTGGTCTTTGTATCCCCATTGGATACCAATTCATTATTCTCATGGCCTTTCCTGCCTTCCCACACTTTTTAAAGGCTCTCTTTATCAAATCCTTACATTTCAGGACTGTGCATCTGCTGTAGTATACTGTTCAGGGTGTTTTTCTGTTTTAACTCCAGCTCAGGTTTTCTGATAATTTTGTTACTCTTATCTAAATAAAAGTACCTTAATGGGCACCTCTGGAGTGCTTGATGATACAAAAATTTACAAATGCCTTTGAACCTATAAGAATCAGCTCTTAGTAGGTCAGTAGTGATTTTATTTAGTAAATTATTGTGTATTGTCTCATTAAAATTAACCAGAAATACAAGTCATTCCTTCCCTCTGTCTTGGGTGTGTGTCGTTGGAAAATGTTAAAGAGTAGAGAAAGCCCCATATTTTACCCCTTTTATCCATGGCTGCTGAGTGTTATTCCTAGAAAGACAGGTGCAGGGAGCTGGCCTGCTCTCCTGGCAGCTGTAGGCTGTGGCCTCACCAGTGATCAGAGAAGGCCTGCCCTACCAGTGTGGCCACATTTCTCCCAACTCACTGCTCACTCCCAGGTGTTCTGCCTTCACATTCTGTGCCATATTTCCCTTTTGTGGAAGGAGAGTACACTTAGAGAATATTAGATTGTCACAGGCTTATATGTGAGAGAGAAGTGGGATTTACTAATGTTTTGTATTTTTCCCCCATAAGTGTTACATATATTTTGTACCTGACTAGAGATTTACTCTCTAACAATTTGAATTGAGAGAATGTCTTAAGTTTTTTTTTTTTTTTTTATGTATATATAAAGTTGTCATACTCTTCTGCCACTTTTTTTTCTAGGATAATCTTTTTGGGGCTACAGCTGCTGAAAAGCAGATATCTCTACCAACTCAGAGCCAAGAGAAAGCAAAACCCTCAGAGCCCTCCAAAAAGAAGGCATCTGCCTTATTGTTCAGCAGTGATGAGGAGGTGGGTTGAAAGTATCTTCTAGAAAGGAATAGGGCTTTGTTTGATGGGATTTAAGAGTATGGCTATTCTAACCATTTTCTTTTACTACCTACTTTATATCTGGTGAAGTTCAGTCACTAAAGACTGTGTTCACAGGACTAGCTATTTTTGTCTTAAAGATATTTAATATAATATTAATGAAAGGTTAATAATTAAAGGGTAATCATTTAAAAATGGTTATCAATGAAATATGACCCTAAAATTATAATATATATTTATTCAAATAAGTTAGGCCTTATTTTATTTTATTACATAATCACTATAATAACAGAGTTAATCAAGAATATGAATCTAGACATGGTAGGAATATTTTTTTTATTAGCATCTTAGCAGTATTTCCATTTATTATCTAGAAACATTAGCAAAGTCAGTAGTGAAATATGGTTTAGCTGCTGTTCAGATTTAGCTGTACAGAAAAAGACTTTACATGTAATGATATTAAAACCCTGAGCAATAAAAATCTTCCTTTATTATCATAATCACCCTTCTTTATTTTAACATAGGCAAATTATGAGGGTATGATATGGATAAATTGTAGATATATTAATGTTTTTATTGTTTTTAATTTTATTTTTATAGAACACAAATTTATTTGGTATTTTGATGTTTGATGAAATGGTTCTCATAGCATCTTAAGGATTAGTGCCAACTCAACCAAAAATAAACCCAAATTAAAATCCCTTAGTGAAAGGAAAACATAAAAAAACAGGCAGTGAAGCCTGGCTGGTGTGGCTCAGTGGATTGAGTGCCAGCCTGTGGACTAAAGGGTTGCTATTTCGATTCACAGTCAGGACACCTGCCTGTGTTGTGGGCCAGGTACCCAGTTGGAAATGTGTAAAAGGCAACTGATCGATGTTTCTCTACCACATCAATGTTTCTATCCCTTTCTTCCTCCTTTCTTTCCCCTCGCTGTAAAAATAAATAAATAATATAAATAAGTAAACATTTAAAAAATAAAAAATGTCAGTGGGAGAGTGTACAGATTCGACTCCCACCTCCATCAGGCCCTTGGAGGAGGAGGCCGCATTAAGACCTTGACCTGTCCCTCTGGAGGCCTAGTGTGCATGGGGCAGGGGCCACCTCTCATAGGAACAAAGGAGGTGTTAATGTTTTTATTGAAAGCAATCTAAAGTGACACAACTTAATTTCCTTTTTCTACTCAAATGTATACATTTATGGTGGATTTTCCTGTTTGTTTGTTTTTTTTTTTCATTGTTAGTCATTTTCCCTGTAGTAATGGCCAACCATCAGTTGAGTTTTTCTTACTATAGCGGTTCATGGAAGATGGGAGCAACATTACTTGCAGAGTAAATATAACTAATGTTCTAGAACAGTGATTCTTGACATTAGCTGCCTTTTGAAATCACCTGGAGAATTTTTAAAAAATGCTAATATTGGGTTCCACTGTTAGAGATTCTGAATTATTTGGTTTGGAAGTATGGACTTTTCTAAAGCTCTTTCAGGGAGTCTAGCATGTAGTTGCTTTTCTAGAGGAGCATGTCTCAAACTATAATATGTGAAGAAATCCCCTGGGCATCCTGTTACGAGTGCAGGTTCTAATTCAGAAAGTCTGGGATGGAAACTGAGATTCTAAGTAAGAGATGCTACTGGCTTGTGGACTGTACTTTGATTTGCAAAGCCGTACGCAGACTCTAGAGACCAAAGGACCACTTAAGCATGTACTGAAAATTCCTTGATTTGAAGGGGTGAGCATAGCCAGGTGAGGTTTCATGTAAAGCTAAGTCTGGATTCAGATTTTTGTAGTAAAAGGATCATTACAAACTTACATTGTGTTGTGCTTACATGTGCATAGCATGAGCTTTTTACACATTTTTTTCTAGTCTGCTTTGGGATTTGTAAATTTATTTTCCTCCAAGGTTGAGAGTTCTTGATTTATTTTTTAATTTTCCTCTTTCTTTTCATCTCCCTCTTTAATTAATTTTGATCCTCTAAATTGGACAAGTTCCCTTGTCCTAACACAGAACAGAACCTTAGAGAGGAGAACCATTGTGGAAGGCAGTGGAGGATAAAGGCATGAGAAGGTCTGTGAAGTCAAAGAACCCAGCAGTGTAGATTTGAGTTCAAAGAAAAGTCTTGGACATGAACTCTCTTCAGGTGTGGTACACTTATTGTAATATTTAGTTTAGATACAATTTAGTTCAATGAATGTAAATATTAATTTGCTTCCTAGGTTCCTTAGACAACATTACCACTGGATTTTAATTCATATTTTATATTTTAAGGACCTGTGGAATTTCACTGATTTACAAACCAACTCAGCATCTGACATCAGGTCTAAAGGAGGAGAACTTAGGGACTCTGGGGCCACCCAGGATCAGAAGACTATGAAAAAGACCAGCCTCTTTGAGGAAGATGATGAAGATGATCTGTTTGTTATTGCTAGGGACAGGTGAGAGCCATTATACAAAGTCATTTAATCTGATTCTGTGCTAACAAGTAAGGTATTTGATATGCAGGTTGCCAGTTACTAGGTGAGCTGCTAAGCATTCATTATCCAGTAGTCATAACAAATGAGGATGTTTTTGATTTTCACATGCAAGGTATTCCTCCCCAACACTGAGAAATTATTTTTTGGATAGATCCTTACTTAATTTCTTATACCTATCATTTTTTGACCTTAAAATATTATTTTTCTTAGTTAATTAGTGGTTTAACTACAGTTTGTTATCTTTTTTTGTTTTTCCTCTGGGATGCACTAAAATATGTAAAGTTTGGTCAAGGGTACTTAAGTTTGTCATTTGGGTAGAAATCTGCTCAGCATTGAACAACACTGTTAGGAAGATGGCTCTCTGCTGAGCTATGCTGTATCATACCAGTTGCTGGTGCCCCTTAGCTGATCTTAGTGGTCCTTCACATTCATTCCTACTTGGTCTAAAACTGACAGGATGTGTCCAGTGAGCAAGTGAGCATGGGCTGGGGTTGGCGTTGTAACATGCTGCCAGATGAGCTGTTCATTAAGAATAACTCTCCCTGGAGAGATATCTTTTCTCTCCAGAGCCTTAAAGGATCATTTTGAAATTCAACTGAATGGTGGTAGCATAAGAGGCAATTGATTGGACATGTAAATCTTAAGCATTGGAGTGCTTAAGTTTTCATTTTGATTTGGTAAATTCAGAAGCACCTCACATTTCTCTCTCTGAATATTGTGATATCTATAAATATCACCATTTCTTTTTAAAAAACATTTTTATTGTATTTTTTCCATTGCCATTTAGTCCCCTTATATCCCCCACCTCCCACACATAGTCACCACACTGTTGTCCATGTCCATGAGTCCTTTTTCCTTTTTGCTCAGTCCCTCTGCCCATAATCTTCCCCTCACAATAGCTGTCATCCAGCTCCCTAACTGTAGGTTTGTCTCTGTTTTGCTTGTTAGTTCAGTTTGTTCAAGAGATTCCACATATCTGTGAAATCATACAGTACTTGTCTTTCTCTGACTGGCATATTTCACTTAGCATAATGTTCTCCAGGTCCATCCCTATTTCTCAAAGGTTAAACTTTTCTTCTTTTTACAGGCAAGTAATATTACATTGTGTAAATGTTCCGTAACTGTTCTATCCACTCATCTACTGATGGACTACTTGGGCTACATCTGTATCTTGGTAATTGTAAATAATGCTGCAATGAACATAGGGGTACCTATGTTCTTTTAGATTAGTGTTTTGGGTTCCTTTGGATATACAAGGTCTTTCAGGAAAAAGTCCAGCCATTGTTAATATAACTAGAATGGTTTGTGCAACATTGATGTAGCCCAGGAGAGTAAACTGGAATGCACATGCATAAACAATGACAACTTCACTGTACTAGTCAGAGGGGGCAATACACACTGTTGAGAGAACATGTGTACTGTGTGGCCATTGCATTCAAAATGACTGAGCATCTGTATCAGACTTTTGTGTTAAGCTTGAACATTCCTCCATGGAAACTTTGGATGATTCAGAAGACCACAGCTGTGGGCATCTGGGGATTGGCAGCTTCATCACCAATGTGCCTGCTCATGCATCACATCTTGTGTGGAAATTTTTGGCAAAACATCAAGTCACCTATGTGACTCAATCCCCTTACAGCTTACCTTTGGTTCCCTGCAACTTCTGGTTTTTCCCAAAACTAAAATCACCTTTGTAAGGGAAGAGATTTCAGACCATTGATAAGGTTCAGGAAAATCCCATAGGGCAGCTGATGGCAACTGGGAGAACTGTGTGAGGTCCCAGGGTTTCTATTTTGAAGGGGACTGAGGCATCATTGTTCTGTGTACAATGTTTCTTGTGTCTTGTATCTTCTTTAATAAATGTCTCAATTTTTCACATTACGTGGCTGGATACCTTCTGGACAGACCTTGTATTCCCAGAAGTGGGATCATTGGGTCAAAAGGCATATCCTTTTTAAATTTTTTGAGGTATCTCCATATAGCTTTCCACAGTAGCTGCACTAATCTGTATTCCCACCAACAGTGCGAAAGGGTTCCCCTTTCTCCGCATCCTCACCAGGACTTGTTGGTTGGTTTATTCATGATAGCTATTTTAACAGGTGTGAGGTGATACCTCATTGTGGTTTTAATTTGCATTTCTCTGATGATTAGTGACATTGAGCATCTTTTCATATGTCTCTTGGCCATCTGTATGTCATATTTGGATAAATGTCTATTCAGGTCCTTTGCCCATTTTTTAATTGGGTTCTTTGAGTTTTTGGTGTTGAATTTTGTAACTTCATTATAAATTTTGTATATTAATCCCTTATCTCATGTATTGGTGAATATGTTTTCCCATTTTGTGGTTGTCTTTTTATTTTGTTGATTTCCTTTGCTGTGCAAAAACTTTTTAGTTTGATGTAGTTCCATTTATTTTTCCTTTTTTCCCCCTTGCCTGGGGAGGTATATCTGTTAAACTATTGCTATGAGTAATATCTGAGATTTTGCTGCCTATGTCATCTTCTATAATTTTTATGGTTTCAGGTCTAATAGTTAAGTCTTTTATCCATTTTGAATTTATTCTTGTGTGTGGTGTAAGAAGGTAGTTTAGTTTCATTTTTCTGTACATATCTGCCCAATTTTCCCAACATCATTTATTGAATAAACTATATTTAGCCCATTGTATGTGCTTGCTTCCTCTGCCTAATATTAATTGACTATAAATGTGTGGGTTTATTTCGGGGCTCTCTACTCTGTTCCATTAATGTATGTGTTTTTTTTTGCCAGTACTATGCTCTTTTGATTACTATGGCCTTACAGTACAGTTTGATATTGGGTAGCATCATTTCTCCAACTTTGTTCTTTTTTCTCAGGATTGATGTTTGCTATGTGGGGCATTTTGTGGTTTCACATAAATTTTTGAAATATTTGTTCTAGTTCTGTCCTAAAGGTCACTGGAATCTTGACAGGAGTTGCTTTGAATCTATAGATTGCTTTGGTTAGTATGGACATTTTAATGATGCTTAAAGATGTTGAATCCTACTTATTAATGAACACAGTATGTGCTTCCATTTATTTGTATCTTCAGTTTCTTTCTTCAGTGTCATAATTTTCTGAGTACAGGTATTTTTCGTCCTTGGTTAAGTTTATTCCTAGGTATTTTATTCTCTTTGAAGGAATTGTGAATGGGATTGTTTTCTTTTTCTTTTTTTATTGTTGTTCAGTTACAGTTATCTCGCCTTTTCCTCATTGCTCACCCCATCCCATCCCTCACCCCCATTTTCCATGCCCATTAGTCCTCTATTCATGTTCCTTTTCTTGCTTCTTCCTCTTCCTTTCCCTCTTAATCACTCTCCCCTCTGGTCCCTGACTATTTGTTCTTTATTTCCAAGTCTCTGGTTTTGTTTTACTCATTTGTTTGTTTTGTTGATTAGGTTACACTTACAGGTGAGATCATGTAGCATTTGTCCATCATCGTCTGGCTTATTTCACTCAGCATAATGCTCTCCAGTTCCATCCACACTGTTACAAAGGGTAGGAGTTCTTTCTTTCCGCAGTATGGTATTCTGTTGTGTAAATGTACCACAGTTTTTTGATCCTCTCATTCACTGATGGGCACTTAGCCTGTTTCTAGTACCTGGCTATTGTAAACAATGTGGCTGTGAACACTGGGGTGCATATAGGTTCTTTTGGATTGGTGTTTCACATTTCTTAGGATATAATCTCAGCAGTGGAATTGCTGAGTCAAAAGGCAGTTCCATTTTTAGTTTTCTGAGGAAATTCCATACTGTTTTCCACAGTGGCTGTATCAGTCTGTGTTCCTACCAACAGTGCACTAGGGTTCCCTTTTCTCCACATCCTCTCCCACACTTGTTTGTTGATTTGTTTATGATGGCCATTCTGACTGGTGTGAAGTGGTATCTCATTGTGGTTTTCATTTGCATTTCTCTGATAGCTAGTGATGTTGAACATCCTTTCATATGCCTACTGGCCCTCTGTATATCCACCTTGGAGAAGTATCTGTTCAAGTCTTTTTCCCATTTTTTAATTGGGTTGTTTGTTGTCCTGGCGTAGAATAGTGTGAGATCTTTATATATTTTGGAGATCAGACTCTTGTCTGAGGTATCATTGGCAAATATGTTTTCTCATATAGTTGGTTCTGTGTTCATTTTAATGCTGCTTTCTTTAGCTATGCAGAAGCTTTTTAATTTGATAAGGTCCCAAATGTTTATTCTTTCCTTTATATGCCTTGCTCTAGGGGACATATAAGTGAAAATATTGCTTGTGGAATATCTGAGATTTTCCTGCCCTGTGTTTTCCTCTAGGACTTTTATGGTGTCAGGACTTTTATCCACCCTGAATTTATTTTTGTGTAAGTTGGTGATCGAGTTTCATTTTTTTGTATGTAGCTGTCCAGATGTCCCAACACCATTTGTTGAAGAGACTGTTTTTACTCCATTTTATGCTGCTGCCCTCTTTGTCAAATATGAATTGACCTTAGAGACTTGGGCTTATTCCTGGGCTCTCTGTTCTTTTCCATTGGTCTGTTTGTGTCTGTTGTTATGCCAGTACCAGGCTGTTTTGATTACAGTGGCCTTGTAATATAGTTTGATATCAGGTATTGTGATCCCTCCTACTTTGTTCTTCTTTCTCAAAATTGCAGCAGCTACTGGGGGTCATTTATGGTTCCATGTAAGTTTTTGAAATGTTTGTTCTATATATGTGGAATATGTCATTGGTATTTCAGTATGGATTGTGTTGAATCTATAAATTTTGGGGGGTAGTATGGACATTTTGATGATGTTAATTCTTCCAATCTGAGAGCATGGCACATGCTTCCATTTGTTTGTGTCTTTCTTAATTTCCTTCTTCAGGGTTGTATAGTTTTCTGAGTACAGGTCTTTTACATCCTTGGTTAGGTTTATTTGTAGGTACTTTATTTTTCCTGTTGCTATATTAAATGGGATTTTTCCTGATTTCTGTTTCTCATATTTCATTGTTGATGTACAGAAATGCCTTTGATTTCTGCATAATGACTTTGTATCCTGCTGTTTCGCCAAATTCACGTATTAGATTGAATAGTTTTTTGGTGGAGTCTATAGGGTTTTCTAGGTATGCTATCATGTTACCTGCAAACAATAACAGTTTTGCTTCCTCCTTTCCAATTTGGATGCCTTTATTTCTTTTTCTTTTTTGACTTCTGTGGCTAGGACTTCCAGTACTATGTTGAACAGGAGTAGTGAAAGTGAGCATCCTTTTCTTGTTCCTGATCTTAGTGGGAAAGCTTTTAGCCTTTGCCCATTGACCTACTCATTTTGAATGCAATGGCCACATGGTAAACATGCTCACTCAACAGCATGTACCACCCCCTCTGACTAGTACAGTGACATCATCATTGTTCACACATGTGCATTTCAGGCCACTCTCCCTGGCTGCCACATTACATCTATGTTGCTCAAATTGTTCTTGTTATATTAATAATGGCTTGACTTTTTCTGAACGGATATCGTGTTATATCCATACAATGGAGTCTTACTCGGCAGTAAGAAGGAATAAGGAATTAATATGTGCTACAATATGGATGGATGAATTTTGAAAATATTTTGTTAATTGAAGAAAGCCAGTCACAGAAACACATATGTGTGATTCCATTTGTATATAATGTTCAGAATGGATAAGTCCATAGAGATGGAATTTAGATAAGTGTGTGTCTGGAGTTGAAGGGAAAGGAGAATTGGGAGTGACTCTTAACAGGTATCAAGTTTCCTTTTGTGTTGATGCAAATACTGTTGACTTAGATTTTGGTGATGGTAGCACAACTCTGAATATACTAAAAATCAGTGATTGTACCCTATAAAAGGATAAATTTTGTGGTGTGCAAATTATATCTCCAAATCATTGAAAAAAAATTCTCTGTAACCTTAACAAAGTGAAATACTGTCTTGAACTTAGGGCATTCAAATGTCCCAGCTTGCCCAGGCAGCCCTGGTTTGTGCCTATCATTGCTGCATAATTAGTAATAACTTTTCCTTTCATTTTCAAAAGTGCTATAGTATAGGCCATAAACACTATGGTTATCATAATGTTTTCTGATATGTGTACTTTTTATTTTATTTTGTTTGGGAGACAAAGCACAGATAACTTTATTATGAGGTAATTATTTAAAAAGTTTTTTCCATCACCATTTATCCTCCCATACCCTTTTCCTCCACTCACCCCCTTTGCCCTTCACTCACCACACTATTGTCCATTTCCAAGAGTTCATTTCTTTTTTGTTTCTTTTTCTGTTCAGTTCCTCCACCCCAAGGGCTGTCAGTGATACCTGTACTTTTAAAATAAATCAGAATACTTACCCTATTATTTATAATGAGAAATAGTCTAGCTCACTGAGCAGCATATTTTTCTTCTGAGGACAGACCTCCACCAGAGGCCCAGATTTAACCAGTAGCTGCTGAGATGTGGAATGAGGGTCAAGGTTGACCTTTAAGGTTAACTGTCTTTGTTCCTCTTTAGTTATCTATGTCCAGAAAAAACTAGCTTTGCTCCAACTTACCTTCAGAATCTGTCATGAAACATTTTTTTGTGGGTTGGGGTTTTTATTTGTGTGTTTGTTTGTTTAGGAATTAGTTGTTCAGAAAGTTATACATAAGACTTTTTCCTGCTATAGCTAGTTAAAAAATAACTATCTTAGCCCTAGCTGGTGCAGCTCAGAGGGTTGTGTGCTGCCCTGCGAATCAAAGGGTTGCTGGTTCGACACCCAGTGTAGGGCACATGCCTGTGTTGCGGGCCAGGTACCCAGTAGGGGACATGTGAGAGGCAACCACACATCGATGTCTCTCTCTCTCTTTTTCTTACTTCCTTCCCCTCTCTAAAATAAATAAATAAAATCTATAAGAAAATAACTGTTTTAGATGCTTAAAAATACCAGAAATCTCATTAAGGAGGCCCCTGGACTTTTGTACCATAAAGATGAGCTACTTAAGCTGATGTTTTGCTAAACACAAACTGCACCTGCTTCAAAGATTTTTCTTGTTCACTTTCAACTGTGTAAGGTCAACAGATGGCTCAGGTGTTTTAGTGGTAGGTTGGTTTCTATAGGCGTGGCATAGAAAGGATATTGTATTTAAAAAGTATATAACTTTTGCTTTTTATTTGACTTTTGTTTGTTTGTATAGTCACAAGAAGACCCAGAGAGCATCACTCCTCTTTGAAGATGATGCTGAATGTGGAAGCTCTCTGTTTGGCTCTCCTCCCACATCTGTTCCTCACACGACAATGGTATTTTTTTTTTTAAGATTTTATTTATTTATTTTTAGAGAGGGAAGCGGGGGAGAAAGAGAGAGAGAGAGAAACATCAATGTGCGGTTGCTGGGGGCCATTGCCTGCAACTCAGGCATGTGCCCTGACTGGGAATCGAACTTGTGATGCTTTGGTTGACAGCCCACACTCAATTCACTGAGCTACGCCAGCCAGGGCTCAGCAATGGTATTCTTAAGCTCTTAGGCTCAGGAAGTATCCTTGAGATAATATTATATAAATAGTGATACTTTCCTGAATCAGTTCCTACACCCTGACCTTGGACGTTGAGTCTAATGGAGAAATTCATTTGAGTAGTTTTAGAAAGTGATCTTTCTGGTTAGTGGTATGTTACAGGTGAGGTACGCATACAGAGCCTATAGAAAAGGATTCCTGCATGTCATGCAGCACCGTTCAGCATCAGGTTCAGGTCTCAGAGTCTTAGGGGAGTACTGCTGCGTTTCTCCTGGAGGAATCGCCAGCTTTAGTGCCAGTTTCATGGAATTCTGCTACCATTTGACCAGGGCAATTCAAGCATCTTCTTTAGGGGCATGTTTTAAGAACTGACACTCTGGTCCTGGTTTATGTTAGTAGCCAATCATTAAAAAGAAAAAATTCTGATATGCTACATGTTTGAATCTTGACGACATTATACTGAGTGAAGTAAGTCAGTCAACAAAATACAAGTCTTGTATAATTTCACTTACATGAGGTATCTGGAATAGTCAGATTTATAGAAACAGGAAGTAGAGTGGTGGTTGCCAGGGGCTAGTGATTAGAGGATATGGGGAGCTGCTTAATGGGTAGAGTTTCAGTTTTTGCAAGATGAAAAAATCCTGAAGATTGGTTGCATAACAATGTGAATATTTTTAATATTATTGAGTGATACACTCAAATGTTTAAAATGATAAATTTTATGTTAAATGTTTTTTATCACAGTTTAAAATATTTTTTTTGTATATGATAAGAAAAAAAGTAGCCAGTCAGTGGCTCATGGTCTAAATATCCTTCCAGTGATTATATCTAAGTGGCATCACTATCATAGTCACCCAAGCTAAAAAATTTGATGATAGTTATGTCAAAAAGGAATATTAAAGAGTGAGAGGAAGGTGGCATTATGATGATAATTTTTCAGGGAAACTATACATACTGGAATCCTATCCTTGGCTGGTCATTCATTCTTCCCTAATACATTCCCTAAGTGGGTGTATGTGAGTATGCACATAGAACAGAGTGAAGCCAAGTAATATTTTATTGCCCCCTGGCCATTGCTACCAGTCCCAAAGAGAAATTTAGAACTTCTTAAGCTATACTCCATGAAGAACACCTTTACTTGAGCTGGGTTAGCTTAACAGATCAACAATCAAACCAACTCACAACCTGCCATGATGGCCTTCAGCCTCAAGCTCAGACCACTCCAGTTTGGTTTGTGTTAGAGGCAGAAAGACCTGAAAGACTGGGAAGAATTACTGAGTCTCCTGGCACTCCTCCTAGGTGGGAGAAGCCACAGAATCCAAAATGGCCACTCCTTCACTGGGCTGGGTGAAGAAAATCCTCCCCTCCCACTGAAATGACAGGTGACCAAATCCCTGATGCCTGCACATTCTCAGGTACATTGCTCCTCCTAGGGGTACAGTGAAGAAGGGCTATGGCAGTAAAGGAGCCTGGGAGTTTCTGTCTTCTACAGGTTGATACTTGGCTCTTCCTGCATACCTGTTAAATATTTTTTTGTTTAAAGTTTATTTTAAATTGCAGAGTAATACATGCATGCTTTCTTAAAAAAAAGTTTTAAAAATGCATAGAGATTGCAAAGTCCCATTCCATACTCTTCCCTAGATATCATCATTGGTAACTGTTGCCAGTTTTTTAGGTCTGTTTCTAAACATTTACATTTTTTAAAAAAAATTAAAATGAGAATGTCTGTATATTTTATGCATCTTTTTTGTCCTGCAGCATTTTTGTCATTTTGCTCTTTACCATTTCTGTATAGTATTGCACAGTGTAACTATACCAGGACGTGTGTGACTGTTTCACCTTTGATGGTGTAATCACCACTACCTTCTGCAAGGTTGTTAGGAATGTTTATGCCCGTTCCTACTGCCTTGTCATCTTTAACCTTGACTATTCAGGTAATTTCTTAACTGGCCTCTCTGTCAGTGCTCCTTCCCTTAATCTGCTCTCCTTGCTTTTTTCCTCATTCTCTTCTTAAAGATAACTGATCCTGTCATGTTCTTGTTACAATACATCAGGTGAGCCTACCAGGCCACCTTTAATCTCATTTAAACTGGACTCCTCTTTTCCAGTCTCATGTACCATGTACTCTAGGTGACTTATTCTGTCCCAGAATACTCCAGAAGAGGTTGTTGTCTCTTTTGTCTGGAAGTAATCTTCATATTTTCAGATATAGTACAAATGTTAATTTGTCCTATGAAAACTCCCCAGACCAGGCACATGTCAGTTAATGACTGAGGCACTCTTTCCTAACCATATTCCCATTAAGTGGGGTTGCACAGTTTGTACTTGAATCATTCAGCATTGGGGAAGCATTCTGTCTTTCTGGGCTCTGGGGTTTCTGCTATTGCTTCTGAGGTGCTCAAAATCTTTTTCATGCATCACCTGTCCTTGTAGCTCCCTAAATAGGACATCTAGTGGCTCCATGGTTAAAAGAGTAGAGAGATCTGAGTGGTTTTTCTTTGTAAATTATAAGTACTTCTACTCTGGATAAATAAGTAATAATCTTAATGAATTTTGAAGATTCTAGAAATGAAAAACTGTCAAACCTGTGTGTAATGATTATTAAATAAGACAAAGGTCAGAGATTCACATTGTAAGTAGCTGAACAACCTGCACACATAATTTTTACTATTTGTAAAATATAATCACCTTTATACAAAATATGTAAAAGATATTTTCTGTTTAGAAGTCTTAGACTACTTTAAGGTAAATGTGACTTACTTATAATCCTCTCAAGAAAATTAAGTTTATGATAACAATGAAGAGTCAGCTTATCTTTAGGAAGGTTTAAAACCAGTAGTTTGGGTAGCATTTTCCTTGGTTTAAGACCAGCAGTGATTTGAAGGCAGAATATGTTTTACCATAATTCTCTTTTTTTTACCCTCATCAACTTGCATCAAAGTTACATGTAGTTTTCAGTGAACACACATTGCACAAATTTTTTTCCTTTAATTATTTCAGTTTTGTCTTGCCTCTTCTTGAGTTTCATTTTCAACTATTTTTTGGGTTTCTAGTTTTTTATTTCAAGTTCAAGTGATTATATACTTTAAGGGTCTCTTCCTAACAATAACTAAAAATTTCCTTACCCTCATATTCTTACTTCATTCATAGTTTTACTATCATAGTAATGTTCTTCTTTAGTTTCCAAATCTGTCTTCTTAACTTGACTTCACATCATCTAGTCCAGTAGTATGAGTTACAGTTTTTTTCAAGAATTTTTGATATTACTTACCCCAAGAATGCTGATAACTGTAGTCGTCAAGTCACATAATCTCAGTTTCCTAATCTGAAATTTCTGCCTCCCAGTAAGAGACAGATGAGAGATGGGGCAAAGTGCTTGCAGTCTTGTGTTGAAGCCCCTACTTGATGTAAAATACCATAACTGATGTGGAAATATACTGTATGATTTATTAAGTAAATGGACAAACAGATGTGTGATAGCTATTAATGTAAATTAAGAAGAAAGTAAGGGCTAGGTAGAGATATAAGTAGTATTCTTATAAATGAAGCAAATAATACTGAAGAGAATAGGAAAACCTTGAAAGATGAGGCTTTGCTTCTATAGTAAGGAGCAGACATGGCACTATGCAAGTTTACAGTAGGTTTAAGGAATAATGAGGACTGATGAGGTGCAGATGAATAAAGGGATGTAATGGGTGTCAGTTGATTGTCATGTTTAGCCTTTGCTTAATGCAAACAGTGCATGTCTGGGTGAGAGATAAAGTAATGAGATGTTTTATTTTAGCATGACAGCTCTGGAAGATGTTATCTAGTGAAAATGTAAGAGGAGGGAGTCAGAAAGGAGTCTAGTAATTATCTTGGTGGCAGAGGAAAGGATCTAAGCAATGACTGTATCCGTGGAGTTGAAACACAAGGAGACAGGTGCAGAAGATATGGTAGCACAAACTCTGAAGTGCCATAGCTACAAGTCTGGGGTAGTAGTGTTTATTTCTTCTTTTCCCTTGTGCCCCCTTCACTATCCTGTCCTGTTGTTTTTAGCATCTGGGGTCTGGGGGACTCTCAAGATGGAAATTAAAGGAGTTCACCACAAAAACTGTACTCAAGTGAGATGTTTATTAAGAAACTTGTGCACATGAGGAGGACAGCATCCATGGGGAGAAAGGAAGTGCTGCTACCCTGAACAAAGCTCGAGAAAATGTTTTAAAGAAGTTGAGGCAAGAAAGATGCTGTCTATGTGGCATGTCTAAGTATGTAGAGGTGAGGACTTTGGTGCCTCAGCAGTGGAGCTACATGCTTCTTCATGATTAGCATGTCTCCTTAGCATGTTAAATCTCCACCCAGGGGTGTGTTTTTTAGGATTTAAATGAGGGAGGATTACTGAAAGGACAGTCTTTCTTGTTAGTGCTTGTATGTGAGCCAAGGTAACAAAATTTAAGCCTACCAAAGTAAATCTTGCAGAGAGCAGTGTCCTTTAATCTAGCTGTTAAATGGCTGTAGGGAAAAGAGAAAGCAATGGGGCAATTAATGGTTTCCTGGCTTCCTGCTAGGCTGGATCAAGGGAGTAGACTGCCTATCTTACACACCCTAACACTTAGCCAACTCCCTAAAGAGGCCTGTGGTTTCAGCATGTTCTATATATTGCAATGATAGCACACCTCTTTTGTTTTTGAGTGTTAATCTAAAATAAAAGGTCAGTGTGAGGGACAATGAACATTTATTTGAGTTCCAAAAGAATAGCTGTTCAGGAACCACTGATTCAGGCAGAAACCCAAATGGCATCCTGATGTTCTGATTAGGAGGCAAGACAAGGGGTGTTTATGAGAAAGGGAAGGGGAACAATTACATGAACAGAAGAAGAGAGTTTCTATGGGTGTTAATAAGCTATAGATACAGGTATAGCTAAGACAGTGATGCTAATTCTAAAGAATGTTTTTAATTTTCAATTTTAGTTGTAATCTCTGTTTTCTTGTTATCTTTGCAAACAGTTGGGATACAGTGATGCTTTATGCCCAGTCCAAAGGTTTTTGCCCAGTTTTACCACTCTAAAGGTTTGAGGAATAAGACGTAAGGTGTTCCTCTGGGATAGCAGCTCTACTCCATTTTCAAGTGGTTCTGTTGTTAATTGTTCATGAGGGTGTCATTTATTCTTCTTTTGGTAGAAAAAAGAGACTTTCCCTGAGGTACCACCTTTGCTGTTCAGCAATGAAGAAGAGAAGGAGGCACAATTTGGAGTGAAACCTGTGGACAAGAAGGTTGAGAGTGCCAAAGGATTGTCAGAATTTGGGAGCACTCATGTGGTTGAAGAGTCAGAAAAGGTGAACCTTTTCTTCTTGTATATCCTGTTTGTCTTGTGTTCTTGTAAAACCCACACATGCATACACATATATGTGCCCTTACATTTTTCTACTACAGAAAATAAATGGCTCGTTGGTTGCAAGTTTTGAAAACCCTGGAAAGTATAAAGAAGAAAATCTCTGATCCCACCATTCAGGAACCTTCAGTATTGTGCTTGCCTCTCAGTCTCTTTTCCAGGCTTGTGGCACAGTACAGTGCTTCTCCCCGTTGTACATTATTATCATTTTGTGCTGATGTTCATTTTGCATTTCTTTCTCCAGGGTATTCTTCCACATCTTATTTTTCATTTTGTTTTTTCTCCTTGCATATCTGCTCTTTCTTCTGACTTGTTCTCTTCTCTGTAGTGTTTGTTACCCTGATTCTCTTCCAGTCCCCACCTGTACTTGAATTTAAATGACTGTCCTAAGAAGATTTTAGTTTACTCTTCTTTTACATTTGGTTGATGTTGGTGTGATTTAAAGTGAAATTTGTCTTTCTTCTGAAACATTAGCTTTCTTTTTCTGGATGATCTGTCATTTCCTGTAGGAGAGGCTTGTGAATAAGGCTGGTAGCTGCATTTGGAAATCAGCAGTTGCCATTAGTCTCTGTATAATATACCTTTTCTTCTTTTCTCACTTTACTTGTACTCTGTGTGTTCAGCTGCTTAGGGTTAATCTCTCTTCTAGGGCCTATGTGTAGAACGTTGCATACACTTTTTTTCTTGAGGTTCCTTGGGACTGCAGTGATATATATTTTATTTGTACCTGAGTCATTGTATAATATTCTCTTCCTGTGATTTTAGTTTGGACCTTTTCTGTGTTCCCATTGTCCCTGAGTTACTAGTTACAGCTCATTCCACACTTGCACTCTGTAACTACTTGTTGTACTGCTGTCTCCCTTGCTTCAGTATAAACTCCTTGAGTATTGGGGCCAGGTTTGTTTTGTTCACAGTTACAACCATTATATTACTTTGCACATGATAGTCACTTTTAAAATTACACATTTCTTTGAAGAAGCATATTTTTTCATAGTTTAACCACTCTGAAATGAGGATGCACTTTACAGTCAGTGACATGTTTAATTGGGAGTTGTTTTTTCTTTCTTGCTGATTGATACAGTAGTAATGGCTCTTACAATCAACGATAGCTTACCTGAAGTGTGGTACTTGTTGAATGACCAGAATAAATGCTTCATTTTAGGATTATTTTAGAGATTCTTACTGCACCAACATAAGCCTTCTACAATGTAAATGTCTAGTTTTGTCAATTAGGTTTCTACTTGAGACTTGTATATTAGCTAAACATTAGGAAATAATATGATCTGCTCCTAATGATTTGTATTTGTGTTATCTCTATGACTTAGAAGTTTTTTATAGCTCTTGAATAATCTGTGTGCCTCGGAGTTATAACTGACATATATCCCTTGGTAGGAAGGAGGGACCCACAGCTTTAAATTGACTGGAAAAATTGTCTTTGGCTATAAATTATCTTCATAAGACTCTCTATTGGAGCAGCTGATCAAGAATTGGCCTCAGTGTTTTATTATCTGGAAGTAGGTGTGTTGAGCTGTAGTGCCCCAAAACAAGCAAATGGGGCGATTACTAGATTAATGAGGAGTGCAGAAGGCCCTATAATAGAATTTGTATTTCCAGGTGTTACTTATTTTTTTCCTGGTTGTTTCCATTTTCAGGAAGGGCCTTTGATTGTATCTGCTCAGGAAGTAGTCAAGCATTCTGATTTATTTTCTTCATTACCTGGATTGGACAAAGGAACCAAAAGTAGAACCAAAACTGTTCTTAGTTTATTTGATGAAGAAGAGGAGAAAACAGAAGATCACTACAGCATCCAACCTCTAAAGAAAGAAGTAGGAAAGGTGAGCAAAGGGATAAAAGAGTCTTATTTCATGCTATCAGTTCTGTCATGTGACTTGCTAAGAATTGAGGGTTCCAGTTTCTCCACTTCCTCACCGTTTTTGCTGTATTTTCTTCCAGTCTGTTACTCTATATGATTTTGTACTGTGATATTTTTAGTTATGAAAATTTTAACCTTAATTTCTGTATTACACTGGTTTTCATGTATAATCAGTAACAATAATTATTAGTTAATTTTTAATGTGACCCATTTTGTCAGGAGTGAGTTGCTTTAGTTTTGGATGTGATACTAAAGAACTAGGGAGGAATTTTAGAATGTCAAGTCTGGGCACTAAAATATCAAATTAAGTAATGTAAATAGTAACTTTCAAATGTCAGGTATCCTAGCAAACAAAAATAACTTGTTTGGCTGTGGAATAGAAGGTAGATGGACATAGGGGAAAGTTGACTGCTTACACCTGTGCCAAGTCTTTGGCCTAAGATGCTGACAGGTTAAGGGTATATACTTGACCATTCTATATAGTTTCTGGTAGTAAGTCAGCTGCTGTGTCTTCCTTTGGAAAATGCAATGGAGAGAACTTATTTAATTTTTGTGTTTTCACCCCTAAAATGTTTCTCATTGTGGATCTAATGATCGTTTTTTAAGTAAATAGTTCAGGCACTACATAAGGGTCAAAAGAAGATCTTTCCAGATTATGTATGTTATCTGTATTTATATATTCTCAACTATTTTTGGTAGGTGCATGTATTGTTATGTGAATGTGTTATTCCCTTTCTGATTGGCATTTACACTGTGTCCAACCTTACCTTTAGCTATTGTAAACAGAGCCACAAGGAGGTATCTTTGTTGTTCCATTTTTGTAGTCATATGTGGTTTCCTTGAGATAAATGTTTAGAAATCTGAACGCACATGAACTTCCCTAATTTTTCCCAGAGTCCTGCTCCTGATGCCCGCCCCAAGAGCACAGGTGTCTTTCAGGATGAAGAGCTTCTTTTTAGTCACAAGCTTCAGAAGGACAATGATCCAGATGTTGATCTTTTCTCCAGTGCCAAAAATACCAGGGTCAGTTCCAAATGGTTCTCCACATCATGGCTTTGTTATTTTATTAGATATTATCTAAGCAACTCACCTAGCTCTCTTTGTAGGTTGTTTTGGTTTGGGCTATTGAATTTGAGTTTTGTCTGTTCTAGTTGTTAGAGCCAAGTGTTGGGAGCCTTTTTGGGGATGATGAAGATGATGACCTTTTCAATTCTGCCAAGTCCCAGCCTTCGGTACCAGCTGTTTGTTCTCAATACTGGGGTGTGTGGGAATGCTTCTGGGAAAAGAAATTAATGTCTAGTTACATGAATAAAAAATATTCACAGAATTGCAGGGCTTGCTGAATTTCAGATGATGTGCTTATAAAAGTGTTTGTGTTGTCGTCCTCTCATGTTCTCTGGCTAATATCAAAACATTAGCTAACCGAGGCTCTTTTAGTACAAATTTGTCTGATTTTTAAGTTATTGTAAGGTCAGTGCATATAATACAGTTACTAAATATTCATGCTCTTCAGGTGTAATGCTTTAAATTTGAGTGTTAGCCTGTATGTTATTTTTTCCCTGTCCCAGTAGATATTGTAAGTACTCTGTTTTCTTTTTAGCACAGAGAGGACTTCTAAGATAGTCACAGTCTTTAGAATTTTATTTTTGAAATGCCACTTTGAATTAGTTCCACCTTCACTTGAAAAATGACTTTTAAAACGCAAAACTGAGATTCTTTTATTGCATTATGACTTTTCTTTAAAATGTCTATGATACTTAATAGACTTCTGATATTCCTTTTCATTTGAAGGTAGCAGAAAAGAAGAGGGCAGTGAAAAAAGACCACTCTGTTTGCTCTTTCAAGAACCAGAAACAGCCTGAATCCATTCAAGGTATCAAAGAAAATAGCATATGGAAACCGGAAACCCTTCAGGTTAGAACTGATTTTTAAGGATTTTGAGCTCTTGTTTTCATCCCAGTGCAGATTAACTCCATTACACTGACCCAAGTTATTTAGAATTCTCTGAACTAAGGAAATAGCATCTAGCACTACTTCCCTTTTTTTACTGTATTTTAAAATCCCTGCTCATCTCTCTTCTCATTCCACCTTCCAGTTTCATGAATCTGTACTTATCATTATTATTTTTGTAATACCTCCAAATTCTGGTCCAAGATAGAGTTAAAGTGGGTTGAAGAATCTTTTTTCCACTAGAAGCTTCATATCGCCCTTTGGGCTACCTTAGAGTAGAATTACATTTAAATAAAATATATATCACATACAATTTCTTCTATCCCCCTTCATGTTGCCTCTTCTGAGATCATTGTTGTTAGGTCTCTGTCCTTATCAGCCTTCTCTATGGAGGACCTACTGAGAGTAGGTGAGGACTGAAGAGGGAATTACCTTCTAGCTTGCAGTTGTCCCAAAGTGTCTCACTGAGGCCTCAGCATCCTGAGCTGTGAAATAAGGCACTAGGACTAACATATCTCCAGTGACTCGTCTCAAGTCTCAGCTGCTTTTGCTCATAGAGCCAGTGCATTGATTAGGCTGACATGAATTTCTCTGTGCTTCATAGTATTTGCTATGTGGATAACTAGCATGGTAATTTTGCTAGTTGATCAGTTTTGAAGCTCTGGTACACCATAATTCTCATGAATCTTATTCATAATTTGTCTCCCTTTACTCCATGTATAGATTGACAGACTTCCCCTTAACACAGTGGATAAGGAGGTATAAGAAAAGTAATTTTAGTGAAATGTTTTGAGGCCCCAGGAGAGATTTGAATGCATTTCTCAGAGAAATCACAGAAAATGATAGTTTAGCTCCATCACAGATATTTACAGGCATAAATGTAATCCAAGAGACACTATTCTTTCTATTACTTTAATGGATTTTTAATTGAATGTAATTTCACACAGGACTCATCAGGTCCCGCCTCATTTAAAACCAAAGAGCCAGCCCCTCGGATTTGGAAAATACAAGTAATTATAATATATCTGGAATCTGCATTGCCTGCCTTGTGGCATCTGTACACTTTTCTGGATTTTTACTTATGTCAGCTGCTGCCAGGTGTTTTCTCATTGCTTTCCTACCCTCCAGTGTTGCTTCTTGTATGCTGCATCTGTAACATCTGTTCTTTGGCCCAGGTGGTGGGGCACAGGTGTATAACCCTCTGTTTTAATTCTAAGACATGCTGAGGAGACTTACCTGTATTTTTCCTTTCATATTATTCATTATGTACACTGAGTCTCTTGTGATGTGTCACAGTAATAGTAATAGACTGCTGCATTTAGGAAAATACACACAGTAAGTTTTATTTTTCTTCTTTAGGCAAATTTAGCAATTAACCCTGCAGCCTTGCTGCCTGCAGTGGCTCCTCAGATCTCTGGAAAGAATCCTGTTCTGTCAGAATTGGGTTTTCCTTCGTCTGAACCTGGGAGAATCCAGAGTCTGGAAAGTATACGCACTCTTCCTGGGAGTGGGGAAGCCGGCGTGAGTTTTGATCTTCCAGCTCAGGCAGACACTTTACACAGTGCAAACAAGGTGATGAAGCCCCCTTTACTTACTTGCTTTTTTTTAGCCAGAACAATTTGTATGTTTCTTTCTAGTTCATTAGTTATGTACAATAGGCCAACTTTCCATGTGAAAGAGGCACCTCATCCTTCCTTTATTCTCTGTGCCCTTCTTCCACCTCCCTAATTCTATGTCTACTTTTCTATGGCCCACATTTGTTACATTTACATTCTGTTCAGTAGCCACAGTGAAATAGTCATCTTCCTTCTCTAGAAAGTCTTAGTTGATCTCTGAGTGAGTGGCAGTGCCTAGGATAACCCTGGCAGGTACATTTCATTTCAGCTATTTCCAAACCTATTTTCCTTGTGAAAAATAAAACATCCTTTCTTTTGTTATGTTTTTTTTAGCTTTTATTTTAGTTTATTTTATTATTGGCTACTTCTTAAAATTATTTGTTAAATTTCCTTGAAATAGTCACAGTCAAGTATTTTGCCTAGAGTAGCTTGTACCTTCTCAAAATTACTTGATATTTTAGAAAATACCACAAATACTGCATTATCTCAATAAGTGACATACCTTGACGTTATATTAAAAGTTCTGATTTCTAAGCAAGAGCTTTTATGTGAAATATTTATCATTTGAATTTCCTGTTTCTTGAAGAAAAGATCACCTTAGATTACCTTTCTTTCTTTATTGTGATATCTACCTTCTCCTGGAGTGTGATTTTAGGCTAGTCCCTAGTAAAGGTTAGTACCAGAATTTCTTCTGTTCTTTCTTGTTTTGAAATATATCCACATTTAAATTGACACCAGAGTAGGGAGCAGAGAGGTTTAGGGAACACAGAACTACCAATATTTCTACTGCAGGTTCCAGTGGCAGATGAAACTTTTGTATGAAATTAAATAGAAGTTACTCTCAAAAGACTAAAAAATGGAGAACACTAAAGGATTAAAACGACTTAGTTTTGGAGTACTAGGAGCTATTACACTTCTTTGGAAATCTTAAAAAATAACCTCTTCTGTGTCTTAGATAGTATCTTGATTGAGATAGATCTGATAATCTTGCAGTATTTTGAGTGGCTGGTTATTTGCTATGTTAGCTTTGGACATTTTTTTTGTTTTAAATTAATAGATCAACTTGTGGTCTTTTTGTTACTGCAGAGCCGGATCAAAGTAAGAGGGAAGCGTCGGCCACAGACCCGTGCAGCTCGGCGGTTGGCTGCCCAGGAGTCCAGTGAGGCTGAGGACATGAGTGTTCCTAGAGGATCCATTGCACAATTGGCAGATGGCACCATTTCACCAGATGGGTATCAGCCACAGCCCAGGGCAGCTGGTGGAAAAGAGAGCTCTGAGGAAGCCCTGTCAGCTACCACTTTGACTTGGACAGGTGGTCTGGTTCCTGGAGTGGACAGAAACCCTTCAGGGAAATCTCTGGGTCAGCCTCTTGGGGATGACCTTTTTCATTCTGGAGATATCTTTTCCAAAGACTCTGAGTCTCAGCCCATGGGGAGAAAAAAAGCCAAGGCAAAGGTGGCAGAGAGCACAGCCAACCCACCAGGGGGAAGTAAAGAAAAGAGCCCCATGTTTCCTGCTCTAGGTGAGGCAGGTAGTGATGATGATCTCTTTCAGTCTGTTAAACCAAAACCAGCAAAGAAAACAAATCCCTTCCCTCTCCTAGAAGGTGAGGATTATCTCTTTCCAGATCAGAAAGGCAAGAGGAATGAATCAAAATTCAGTGATCAGCAAGCTGTCATCTCAGAAGCACAAGATATTTTTGAGGTAATAGGGTATAACAGTATGTTTTTGTGCCTGGTTCTTTATGAAGGAAAATACCACTTGGCTCATTAGAGCCATAAGTTACATTAGGCTGATTTGTTGCTGCCCAATATCTATTTGCTTAGTAATTATAATTAGGTTCCTTTATTTAAATAACTGAAACTTATTGAGAAATAGTTGTTTCATATAGATGGTAATTGCTGGCTGGACATAACCATTAATACAGATCTTGATTTTTAGAGTTTATCAGAATGTTGCTTCAGTCAGCTTCCTTGATATGACACTGCATGACATATATAAAGCAGTATATTGGTACATATATTGGTACAGCTTAAATTTTTAACCTCTGGTTCTTAGGCAAACAGGCCCTAGCTGATAACTGAGCACAAGCTACAAAGCCTTCCATGGCACTCTCTAGGCAGGTGTTTATAGAGCGTCTGGTCACTGGAGACACAAGGTAAACTAGGACCAGTGCTCTGTCCTTAGTACTCTCAGGGAGGGAAATTGGATACAGATAGGGCAACAGATAAATAAGATGTTTTCAGAAAATGTTAATGTCTTAAGACAATGCAGGACAGTGGGGCAGAGTGAGGGGCAGGTGTAGGAGGCTCTTCAGGTAGGACAAGTAGAGTAGGCCTCTGTATAGAGTTGGCATTTGAGCTGGGACTAGAAGAATAAGGACCAGGTCAGGCAGAAATCTAGCAGAAGGGGCAGGTCATGTGCCTGTTCCAGAACACTGGCAGTTTGCGTCTTTACACATTGTTGAAATACTGAAAAGTAGTTTTTGATTTAATATTGTTTTGCTTGTTTTTTGCCTTAACAAGGATGATATATTTGCTACAGAAGCAATTAAACCCTCACAAAAAACAAGAGAGAAGGAAAGAACATTTGAATCCAACTTATTTAATGATAACATTGATATCTTTGCTGACCTAACCATAAAACCAAAAGAAAAATCCAAGAAGAAAGTGGAAGCTAAGTCTATATTTGATGATGATATGGGTAAGTTTGGTTTTCTACACATGACATAGAGAATATCATTCAATGACTTGACTCTTTGTCTTGGCCCTTTTCTGGAAATTGTTTCCTAGTGGGTTTTCTTTGGCTTGCCATGTAATCCTGAGTTAGACTGAAGATGGATAAGTAAATGAATTAGTTATTTTGGTGAAGTAGCTTTTTGGTATTATGGACATCAGGTATTTGAAGGAGACTGGAATTTGACCTTTTTACCTTACTATTACATAGTTTAACTTTTACCTTGCTATTCCTCTTGCCAATTACCCATGACAAATCTGAACACTCTGGGGTTACAGGAGGAGTCTCAGAACTACACCACATGCTGAAGTTGACATAGGTTGCTGCCTCAGGTGTGATGTAGTTGTTGAGTCAGAGTTCTTGCTGGAGAGTCAGCATCAGTGTTCAGAGAATGGAGGGCAGTTCAGGAGGATAAAAGACTAAATAGGAAAGCAGGTTATAACTCAGATTTTACATCTCACCAAAGATCTTCTGTGTTTGTAAATGTGTTCATTTACAAACATGTTCACTCCATGGTGTAACATCTATTTTGTAAATAGACATGCCAAATGCCTTATAATCCTAAATATAGGGCTTCTGAAACATCTAGTGTGTTAGAAGATAGGATTGGGCTAAAGCCAGATATACACTTCCTACTCCATCCCCTTTCTCTCCAGGTCTAAACTTTGGGGTTACCTTGTAGAAAGCTGGGACTGCAGTGCCACACCGGGTCTGTTCCCCAAGCTAGCTGTGAGCTCCATCACTCTCTGCTTTCCACCACATGGGGTATAGAAGAGACTTTCATTTCTTTTAATATAAATAATGTGATACAAACCTGATGTAATACACTAATACTATCCAGAAAGTGTAAAAAGTGAAAAACAAACCCTAGAAATAACCATTAAGGTGAGAGTTAGGTTGTATTTTTTCAGATATGGTGATATTGTTATAGTTTTATATGCTTATTTTTTCCAAAATAAGAATATACTTTACCGCTGTTCCTTTTAGTCACTTAAATGTCATCTTATGTCAGTAGAGATCTGCTTCCCTTCTTTTACTGGTTGTTAGTATTGCTTTGTATTTAGCTCTTAGCCTATTGAGGGTGATCTAGATTGTTTCTAAATTTTCTCCATTGTAAATGCCATCGTATTTAATATTTGTGTATAGTATGTATATTTACACATGCTAAAATCTCTGTAGGATAGAATTTTATCAGTACCATTACTGGGTTAGTAAAATTACTGAGTAAGATGAATCATGAAACAGCTAGAGTCAGTGAAACACTAAACACGATGTATCCATAAACACTTAATATATTTAGGATTGAGATGCCTCAAATAGATGCATTTATTCTGAAAAAGGTGACTCCTATGTTGAATTTCCTTTTGCTTATTTTTATTGCCCTTTCCTTTTAAAATTCATTGGGAAAAGAATGTAGGAATAAGTGTAATGTAACAGTAGAGTTAGGAGCTGGATCAAAGATGCAGTTATCTTTCCCTTTTTCCTGTCCCACATGTGCACACACACTTTCATAGCTGAGAAAATAAGTAGTAGTATTTGAAGAGAACATGTGACTTGTATGTGAACATAAAACTTAATTAATAGCAGAGCCAGGACCAATATCTAAGAGGCTTGGCTTTGTCTTAGTGTTTTTAGGTATCCCAAATATTACCAGACTTGAGTCTTTGTTGGTTTGTGTAGATGTGTACTAAAAGCTTTTTTTTTTCTTGCCTATTTAGCAACTTTTCTTCTTTCTTTTTAAAGATGATATCTTCTCCTCTGGTATCCAGGCTAAGACAACCAAACCAAAAAGTCAATCTTCACAGGCAGGACCCAAACCAAGATCTGAACAGAAGGTGGCCAACATATTTGATGATCCTTTGAATGCCTTTGGAGGCCCATAGAGCATACAGTGTATCACATCTCACTCTTCAGCTATGTCCATGAGTTAATACTGTTGTCTTATGTGTTCATTGTCTTAACTGAATTATATAAAGCAAATACTGAAACAGCATACTTGCCTCTTATCAAATGCACTTAGTATTTTTCTGCACTGGTTTTAATCATGCTTAATACAGCAAAACAAGAAATAAATGTTTCACAGTGGGTTTTTTTTTTATTATTAAAAACTATAATTTAATTAGCCTTGGTAAAAAGCCACAGTATGATTTAGGTATATTAGAGAAGAAATCTCTCTGTGCCTTTCATGGATGGTTAAGGAATCCTAGAGATAACAAGCAGATGTCAGAATCATGACCAGGAGTCTTCTGTTTAAGTGGGTGGGAGCTCTATCTTAGTCAGAACTTGGCCAGATGATAGAGGAAGTGGATGAGAGATTTATCTACTTCATGAAGCTTTGCAGTAGGAGAGAAGGTTTCCACTAATTCCATTGAGGTTTCCTTTGGTGCCTCCATAAGTTCACTAAAGAAAGGTTTGACAAACTATGGCACTTTACTATCAGTTTTTGAAAAGAAAGTGTTTTTCTTTTTTTTTAAATTTATTGATTTTAGAAAAAAGAAGAAGGGAACAAGAGAAAGAAACAAATAAACAAACATTGATTTCTTGTTCCACTTACCATTTTGCCATGTATAAATGTGTACTTTTTCACCTAAATGTTTGAGGGAAAAATAAGGATGCTATTATACATGAGCAGTGCTATTTCCTTATCTAGACGAATGTTTTTATTCTTGTACTTATGCTTATATGTTAAAAATGTAACTCTAGAAAGCATTAATGGTATCTATATGCAAAATAATACCCTCAAATATGATAATTGGTTTTATTGAACTTACGATGAACTTGTAACAAAAGCAGTTTTGGCCAGCGATTCAATGACATGAAATGAGTGGCAATGTATTGTTATCCACAGAGTAAGATAGATGATGCCAATTGTTATCCATTGATAAGATAGGTGATGCTGACTTTATTACCATAAGGTGAACAGTGCAATATTTAGGTGGGAGAAAGTATTGGAAAATCCCTTGGAAAATGTCAAAATGGTTTTCGTACACTGCAAGCTTTAAGCTAAAAGTTATTAAATATGCTAAAAAGCATGGCAACAGAGCCTGCGGAGAGACACTTTGGACCTGCTCCCCCAGAGAGTGTCATTAGATTGTGGAGGCAATATGAAGCAAAGCTTTTTCAGATGCCAGGACAGAAGGCAATGTGAGGGAAACCTCCAAAATAACCGGAGGTGGAGTAGGAGGTGAAGGCCTGGATTCTGGAGAAGCATCAAACTGAGATCTGTGTTTCAACCAAGATATAAGAGAAGAAGGTAAAACAATTGCATGAGACAAAAACATTGATGATTTCTCAGGGACCCCTAAATGGTGCTTTAACTTTATGAAGAGAGGTTTGAGCATGAAGACATGAACGAAACTTGCCCAAAAACTTCCAGCAGCCCATGAGAATCAAGTTTTGGTATTTCATTTTTATGTTCAGTCTTCAAAAGACTTACAACTTTCAGCTGTCCCAAATCACCAGCATGGATGAGGTCCCACTTACATTTGATGTGCCATCCAACAGAACTGTGGACATGAAAGCGGCAAAGACCATGGCTGTCAAAACTAGTGCTCTTAAAAAAACACATTTCACTGTTGTTCTAGCCTGTTGTGCAGCTGGGACAAAGCCACTACCTATGATCATCTTTAAAAGAAAAATGTTTCCAAAACAAAAGATTACAAGTGAAGTTATTGTTCATGTGCGTGAAAAAGGATGGATGAATGAAAAAGGCATGAAAATCTGGTTTAACAAAGTCTGGTCATGAAGGCTTGAAGAATTACTGAAACAGCTTTGCTTGTTTTTGGTCACTTCAAAGCCCATGTTATACAAAGTGCAAAAGCAATCGCAGCAAACTTGAAAACCCAACTTGCTGTGATACCTGGTAGGCAACCAGCCGACTGCAACTTCTTAATGTGTCAGTAAACAAGCCATTTAAGAAAGAGTAGACATTGTAGATTCAGTCAGCTGATAATGATCTAACACCTATAGGCAAGATCAAGAAAGCATCCATCACCCATGTTTGTGATTGGATCCTAAGTTCGTGTAACAGTGTCAGGAAGGAAGTGGTCGTGAAATCATTTAAAAAATGTGGCATTAGCAATGCTATGATGGAACTGAGGATGATGAAATTTACTGGGATGAGGAAAGTGACTCTTCAGAAGACACCAGTATTGTAAAAATTGAAGAAGACAATACGTCTGATACTGACTAATGACTCTTGGCCTTCTGTGATGTATAAATATCATAAATTTGTTACCAGTGTATAAAATATCTTGTATCTGTTCTTTTGTAATTACTTTTTACATAAAATTTCTTGTGCCATAATATGTTCAAAAGTGAATGCTAAAATTCCTTTATAATACAAAATAACAAGTAGCTACATATAAGTAAATAATTGAATTAAAAAACTGAAATGAAAGGTTTTTTTCCTGCATTTTTGGACCAAACACATGGGTGTGCATTATACACAGGAGAGCATTTTACAGGGCAAAATATGGTATATATTTGAAAAGGTTTTATTTATTTATTTATTTTTAGAGAGGGGAAGGGAGGGAGAAAGAGAAGGAAATATCAATCAATGTGTGGTTGCCTCTTGCATGCCCCCTACTGGGGACCTGGCCCAAAATCTAAGCATGTGCTCTAGACTGGGAATTGAACCAGCAAATCTTTTATCCACAGGCCAGCACTCAACCACTGGGTCACACCAGCCAGGGCAAAATATGGTATTTATACATTTATTGGTGGGTTCTTGCATGTGCCCTGACTGGATTGAACCCACGACCTTGGCATATCGAGACAACGCTCTAACCAACTGAGCTACTCGGTGAGTGCAGAAAGTAAAGGTTTATTGGAACACAACCATGCACATTTATTTACATATTATCTATGGCTGTTTTTACCCTACCTGTAATGCCCGAGTTGAGAAATTGTGACAATGGCTGGATGACCAACAAAGCCTAAGATAGTTTCTATCTGGCCTTTCACAGAAAAAGTTTGCTAAGTTTTGCTCTCAGGCATCCATTTCTATTCCTTGGAGATTTGCGTTATTTTGTGAAAGAGGCGTAATGAACCCAGGTAATTGTAGGGAGAAGTGCTGATGGGGGAATTGTCAACCTCTATAGCAGCATTGTTTTACATAGAACTTGGCAGTTAAGGGAATGTTCTGTATCTGTGTTGTCCATTGTGGTAGCTACTAGCTACATAGATGGCTGTCGCCCTCAGTCTGAGTTTTCCTGTACTATGCCATCTTGGTGCTCCGTAGTCAGTCTATAACAATCGCACAATCTTGTAGGCAAAATTGGCTTTAATCCTGAAGCCACTAAATTCGTTCTTGGGCACTTTTAAGATTGAACTGGGAATGGCTCATTTCCTAATCGGATTTTGCCCAGCTCCCACAGATCAACTGCTGTCCCTACTCTGCTTACCCTATGGCAGGAGAGGGTGCACCTGCTCCTTTCCCTTTTCCTTATGTGCACCTCCACGTTATGTCCCTAGTCCTGCTCCTTTGTCCAAGCCCACTTCGGAGTCTGACTCAGTATTTGTTAAACATGGTTTTCTTTCGGAATGATGAAATTTCTAACCTATCATTAGGGTGAATTCCAGGGAATACAGTAGAGTTAGAAAGGTGGAGGGAACTTATATTAGCTAGCTCTGTGCTGGGCACTTTTCACATTATTCAGTCTCTGTAACCCAGATAGGTAATGTCCTCATTTACAGATAAAGTTAAAATCTGAAAACAGAGTAGAATAGTGGAACAGGTTTGGATTTTGAGATCTAGGCAAGTTCGTTTTCCTTTCTTAGCTTTTATTTGTTCCTTTGTCAGGTAGGATTTTTGGTACCAACTCTGCAGGATTTTGAGGGGAGAGAATATTCAAGGCAGGCCAGCCTCAGCACACTAGAAGCGTACCGGCTCTGGAAGGGCCTCTGCCTTTTCCTTCTGTCTCCAGGCTTTCCGCCTGAGTTCCCGTCAGATGTCCGAGTTTAGAGATAAGGGTCAACATCCGGGCCACTCCTAACCGACAACCACTACCGAATGCTAAGGGAGCCGGCTGCCCAGCAACCGCCAGTGACAGGGCCAGGCTTGATTGGACGGTGGCGTGAGGGGCAGCGAGTGATTGGTGTGCTGAGTCACAAAGGGGCGGAGTGTGGCGGGTGGAGCATTGCTTGTCTGCGAGGCCTGGAGTCTCTCTTGCAGGCCTGCGGGTGGGTGGGTGGGTGAGTGGACCAGTCTGTCAGTGACAGCAAGTGGGCCGAATGGGGAGGGCACCTGGGACCCAGGACCACTGAGCGGTCTGCCCTGCTGTCTCAGTAGGCCATAGAGAAGCACCTCTCTCTGGGTACAGGGCAGGCGGCCGCACCCCCTTGGTCTCTGCTGCCCCACGCAGCAGTGGGACTGTCTTGGCCGAGGTCACAGCGTCGGAGTCACAGTCTCCAGTTTCCTTGCCCTCTGAGCGCAACGCAGCCGCCGCCTGCCAGAGGGGGGCTGCTCTCCCAGTCGCCAGTTCCGTTGAGGAGCCTGATCGCTGTCCTCCAGATCAGTCCCCTGAGTCTGCAGAACCAGAGGTACTCCTGAAGGAGGATGGGCTGCACAGGTGACAGGTGTCTGCAGGTGTTGGTACACTGATGACTCCAGTAGATGTGGGCTCCAAAGGATTTTCCAGTTCCACTATAAAATTAAATAATTCCAGGCTACAGTTTAGGGTACACATGCATGATGTGGTAATAGAATTTCTGTAGATTGTAACTTAAAACTATAGGTTTTTTTCACATATTAGTAAAAATAGTTCATTAATAATCACTATTTTTAATGGCTGCAAGCCATTATGGATCCTTTTACATCAGGGGAAAAGTTTAAATGGTAACTTTATATGGTTAATATTCTTTAGAACTTAGGATAAAGCTGATTCTGAGTCACTGAAATTACTTATTCAGTGCTATTATTGCCTTACTGGTCTTTAACACACCGTTTATCTTTAGTGGTAGTATTTTTAAGAACTTTTCCAGAAGAAATTAGAGAAATGTTTTGGAAATTGATTTAGAAATGTTTTTTGATGCCATTACTCTTAATAGCTAAGAATGTTTTCAAATTATTGGTAAAAGTTCTGGAAATACTTTCTTTTCTATCTCCCTTTTCCTATTTTTTATTTATTTTTTAATTGTATTTGATTTTACTTTTGTTTTTAAAGATTCTTGTTTTTGCATTATTTCCCATCCTTTGAGTCTTTATTGCCTTTGTTTTCCAACATTATAGCTTCTATAATGTTCTCAGTCAAGCATGAATGACCACACAGCACAGAAGCTGTCTATTGACCCTGCTTTTAATACTGGCTAGGTCCGTGGTCTGCTGAGCTTCTGTGTGCTCCTCTACCATCATCTAGTCCTTCTGTCAGTTTAACAAGATTTAATGGTCTAATTTTGTCCTTTGTTACAGTGATTTCTACTGCTGAGGAGAAATATAAGTGTTTTCTTGAGGCTTGCATTTCAGTTTTGAATTTGGTTACCCACTTTGCTTCTTTTTGGATATTGGTTTTACTCCTTTGATTAGGGCCCAGATATACAGTGGGCATTCCAACACAATTAGTGCTGTACTAGGTTGCTGTTTTTCTTTTAGCCCATAGTTACTGTATTGATTCTCATTATAGATGGAGGACTTCCAAATCTGTCTTTCTGTTACCTTCTCTTATCCCTAGCTTGTTTATTATTATATTTAGGGTATTGCTGTGGAAGAGCATTGTGTGCTCCTGTATCTTCTGTCTCTAAATTCCTTGGTTAGGCACAGGTCACCAGTGCCTTTATTTCTGTAACATACATTTCAGCATTCTTGATCCTTGACTTCTGTTGTTAGAGCTGCTACTATGTAGACAGAAGTACTTGTATTGGTGTTGGGGGAATAGATACTGCTAATTCTGTAGTACATTCTTATTTAATGTGGCATGATAAGTATGTTCTTAAGAATCCATTTTATAAAAAATTATAAAAGCAGTTGTGTCAGTGAGGAGGGCAAAGGGGTCAGGGGTTAGCTGCATACAAAGTCATTTTTCCTAGGGGCATTTCAATGTATTAAAAATATAAGAAACAAAACCTTAGCAGTACAGCCATTTATATGGTTTTTATTTAAGAGCAATAGCCTTTTACTATTGCCACTAGCAATATTATTAGCACAGTACTTTGTATTCTTATATTTATTACTCATTATTTTGATAAATATATAACAGCACTTAAAATAACTGTGTTGCCAGCAACAACTTTTTAAAAAAAGATTTTATTTAGTTTTAGAGAGACGAAGGCAGGGAGGAAAACATCAGTGTGCAAGAGAAACATCTATCAGTTGCCTCTTGCAGGTTCCCATTTGGGGACCTGGCCCACAACCCAGGCATGTACCCTGACTGGGAATCGAACCAGTGACATTTTGGTTTATAGGACAATGTCCAGTCCACTGCGCCACACCAGTCAGGGCAACAACTTTTCTTCCTGTGATGCCATCTTTTCAGGACTATTTGCAGTTGCACAGTGCAATTCAGGTTTCTTAATTAATTAATTAATTTTGCATCCAGTTAGTGCTATAAAAATTTATACTATAGCAGAAATCACTGTATGTGTCTGTATGTTATGAGTTGGATAAACTTCAGTGTACTTAGTTTGGAATGAATCATAACATTCCCATGGGAAGCCAACAAATATTTGGAGCATAACTAAACACTTCTTCATCCCTAAATCAGGGATAATACATTTTCTATATCACAGTTTTGTTCTGAGGATCAGTTGAGAGACTGAACATTTACTCTTTCATTGAACAAACCTTTAATGAGTACTGATTTGTACAAAACACTGTGCTAGGTGATGGGACAGTAAATCAGGTGTGGTCTGTCCCTTAGGTAGCTTACAGTTTAGTAGAGTAAGAAAGCCATGTAAAGAATGAAGTTGACCATGATCAGTGCAGTATATGATGGAAATGTAGGGGTGCAAAGGTGAGTAACCAGAAAAGGCTCTAATAAAACCATAGTCTTAAAAAATAACTGCTCTTTTAAACACATTGCTCTGAAACTTGCAGTGACTTTGGTGATATATCCTTCAGGGGGAAAAAAGTAAAGAATTTATCACTGATTTTTCTTCTTTACTCTTGCATTTTCCTATTGTTCATTTTCTGTTCACCTACACTTACTGATATCCTTCTTCCATTCTGAGGCTTTACTCCCTCTAAAATACATTAAAAAATTTACCCATGTCTGGATTATATCAAACAAAATGTTTTTTCACAGCAATGGAGACCAGCAAAATGAAAAGACAACCCACTGAGTGGGAGCAGATATTTGAAACTGATACATATGGTAAAGGGTAATATCCAGAATATATAAGGAACTCATGTGACTTAACACCAACCCACCCCTCAAAGAATACAATTATAAATGGGCAGAGGACCTGAATAGACATTTCTCCGAAGAGGACATGCAGATGGCCAACAGAGATGTGAAAGGATGCTCAACATCACTAATCAGGGAATTGGACATCAGAACCACAATGAGATATCACCTCATACCTGTCTGACTGTCATCAATAAATCAACAAATGATAGGTGCTGATTAGGATGTGGAGAAAAGAGAATCCTACATTCCTCCTGGAGGATGTAAATTAGTGCAGCCACTATGTGAAACAGTATGGAGATTTCTCAAAAAATACAGAGCTGCTGAATAATCCAACAACTCCACTTCTGGGTATTTATCCAAGAATACAAAAATACTAATTCAAAAAGATAAATATACACCCTTATGTCATTATAGCATTACTAGTAATAACCAAGATATGGAAGCAACCTAGATGTCCATCAATAAATGAATGGATAAAGAAGATGTGGTATATAGATATTACAATGGATATAGATAAAAAGCTCATGGTTGCCAAAGGGGAGGAGGGTACAGGGATGTGAATTAAATGCATTCAAAGAAAAGCATTGTATCTTTAGTGGTTGGTATATAATTGATACCTCAATAAATATTGGAAGATTTCATTTTCAGATCATTGATGCATTTAGATAACATGAGCAAACAGGTCGAAAAGTTTACCCACCTATAGGGGATACTTGTCAACTTATTCTATGAGGTGAATATTACATTGATGTCAAAAACAAAAAAACACACAAAGGAAACTAGATCAAGCTTCTGGTCAAGAGAGCTGAGGAGGTAAATGTGGTACTTGCAACATCAGAATTACAACTAAACTACAAAACAACCATCATTCAGAACCACTTGAAATCTAGTTGAATAGAAGTCCTACAACTAAGAATATAAATAAGTAACCAGGTCTTGACTAGTAGGGGGGTGAAGATAGAACTGGCTGGTCCCACACCCACATATAGTGGTTAAAAATTGAGAGGGAGGGATATCTTGGATGCAGAGGTTCCTCCTGATGAGTGAGGGCTCCCTCTCAATAGTGGGCTTCCTCCCCACACCATCCCCACCCCCCAGTACAGGGTTCTAGTATCAAGAAAAGAAGTCCCAGTAACTTCTCGTTGTGAAAACAAGGATTGTGGCTGAGTGAGATGGAGGGCTGCTGAAATCCCATGTGTTCCTCTTAAAGGGCCCATGCACAGATTTATTGGACTCACTTGCCCTGGGCTTCAGAGCTGGGGCAGCAGCTTAAAAGGCTCCAGGGACATATGGAGAGGAATTTTTCTGACATCAGGGCAAGAGCTGAAGAGGTAGCTTTCTCCCATAGAGAAGTGCTAGAAGAGGCAATTGTTTCTTTGCTGAGCCCTCGCTCCACAAAGCTGGTAGGTGGGTGCCCTATTTGAGTCTTCATCATTCTGGCTAACACTGTTTGCCCCACCTTGGTCATTATCTGAGACCACACCATACCTATTGGGCCCACCCAAGCCATTTCCAGTGATTTTTCCATACAAATGGCCTGTCTTGGAATGCCTTCTACCTTTTGCAAAGTGAGCTGAGGCCTGACACTAATGGCAGCTGGCTTTGGTTTACAGATTGGCCTAATCCCAGACACCAAGCACAACACCAAGTAGCAGCCTTCCGCAGATTGCTTTGTAGCTCATGCTGAGTGGCCCTGGGTAGGTCACAGGTAGTGTCTAAGCTTACACCTCCTGGGAGGCCCCAATGTACAGCTTTAGACTATGCTGAAGCACCACCCAGCCACATCCACAAGTGATACACTCAAAGGGGATACTCAGCTGAGTACCAGAGGCCCACTAAAGCAAGTCCTGCTTGGTGGGGTCAGCCTCTGCACAGCAGATTCTACACAGTGATCTCACCCAGTCCTCAAAGCTGATTGGCCTGGGGGGTAAATCACTCCCATTGATATGCCAATAGTAGTCAAGGCTCAACTACAACAGGTAGGTGCACACAGCCCACATTGCAGAGGGTGGGATGTATACCTGAAGCACTCAGGTCAAGTGACCAGGAAGACCAGGCAATGAGCCTTTCAGAACACCTACTACATAAGGCCACTCTACTAGACTGGGAGATGTAGCAGCCTTACCTGATACATAGAAATAATTACAGGGAGGTAACCAACATGAGGAGACAACAAACATATCCCAAATGAAAGAATAG